TGTGTTTTCTGTATTCTATATCATTAGAATATTATTTTTCCCCTTTTTATGCTAATAAACCCCAAAACAATAAACCACCTGCCATGCCATAACAAATAATATTTTCAACAAAAATATTTTGGTATTCTGATTGCCCATATATTAGGCTCTATTTCTTTATAGTTTTTACAAAAGATTTGATCAAAACTTTTGTAGACTAGATCAATTTTTGTATTAAATTATTTCTAAAAACCTCTAAAACTTTCTTTCTTTTTCCACCATTATGAATTTTAACACTATTATGTAAAAAAAAAAAATTTAAACAGAATTGTTCAAAATTTTATAAGCTTTTCAATAATATATAACATCAGATACTTAGGACTTTTACTTTAAAAGATATTTATGTTTTTATAAGACTCTTAAAAAAGCTGTTATTTTTTGGCCATGCCAAAAGAGTTAAAATTTAAATAAAAATAGAAAAACAAATATTTTGTTTAAAAATATTTTATTTCTAAAAAAATAATAAAAATAAAAACAGAAAAACAAATGTTTCTTTTAACTCTAAATAACATAATGAAAATAAAAACAGAAAAACAAATATTTTATTTTAATTCTAAATAAAATAATCAAGATAAAAACAGAATAAGAAATGTTTTGGAATTTTATTTACCTCTAAAGAAAATAATTAAAACAGCAAAATGAACATTTTATCATGTATATATTATAATATAAAAATTACTTATATAAAAAAATATATTAAAAAAAAAATTACTTATAAAAAAAAAAATTAAGATTTTATTAAAAAATTATTCTTTAATACCCTTTTTTAAGATGAAATTTATTTTTATAATATGCTTATACTTATATTGCGAGCACTTCAAATAAGGTAAATATCTAAGTGAAAAAATTTAAAAATGAATTATTTTCATTAAAAGAATTGAAAATTAAATTTTTTAAAAAAAGCTATTGCAATTAAAAAAACACTTGTATATTTATTGCAAGAGCTTAAATAAGGTAAAAACCCTAAAATATAGAAGACTTCATTAAAATCAAGTCAAAATTTTAAATTGAAAAAAAAAATTATATTCATTCATAAAGACTGGTAAACAGAGTTTATGTATGTATGTCAGGGGCTATTCTAGACTGTTTTCGACAACGTTGACCGTATTTAGGCAACGATTTGGATGCCGCCCAAATCAAAATTTGAGGACTTTTTTTTTTAAAATTTTTTGGCAAATATCGCAAAAAAAAAAAAAAAAAAAAAAAAAAAAAACCCCGCAGATTTTCCGCTAAAGTCCGCCGAAACGAGGAGGGGGAGGGGGTACAGCCGCCCAAATTTTTTTACTAGAATAGGCCCTGTATGTATGTATGTTTAACAATTTATTTGTAAAATTATTATAAATAATTATTGCTGATCAACACTGATCAGCAGAAATGATAAAAATTGAAGTAGACAAATAATTTTCGGGGCGATTCAAATTTTGTGCTTTTTAATTGCCATTATTATTGTAAACAAAAGATTGTTATGGTCCTAAAAAAACTGTTTAATTTAGCAATCATAATAAATCATAAACATTTTTAAATTTTAATGCTAATTTAATTACTTTAAGATTCTTTTTTAAATGTTTAGATTCTTTTCATTATAAAAGTTAATTTGCAAAAAAGGGCAATTGAATTTGAATGGCCATAACTAATTAATTTTGGGAGTTCAGAGTATCAATTTTTCCAAAATTCAAAAATCATTGATCGGTCATTATTTCAAGCGCTGATATATATATATATATATATATATATATATATATATATATATATATATATATATATATATATATATAAACTTAAAAATTATTTTTCAAACTTTTTGATTTTTTCAAACTTTGTAATTTTTTTTTTTAATTTTTTTTAATTTCACTCTTTTATATATTATTGGAAGTTGTAAAATTTTATTTTATTTTTTATATTTTCACAAAGGGGCTTGATGATAAGATAATTTTTCTTCTACTTGCCCCAGTCAGCTTGCAATTGTATAAATTTATTTGAATGTACAGTTAATGTTGTAAAATGTAATAGTCAACTGCAACCAATAAGCAGCTTGAACAGCATCCTGATAACCACATGTATAGTTTTGTGAATAATCAAAGTGTACCAAAATTTGGTCTGGTTTGAGATTTTCTTTTTGACTGCGGTATTGCTCAGACTGGTTTTAGTGAGATGATGCTCAGTAAAATCTGGTAAATAGTTGTGTAAATGTTTAAAAACATCTTTCATGTTTTTTCTATGTTGACTGAGTACACAGCGATGATCTTTTTTTATCCAACAACTATAGGTAATTAATGTATCCAAGTGTCTGTTTTGGGGCGAAGAAACTCTTAATAATTTGCTATCACTAATGAACATTTCATAATCCAGCATTTGTTCGTAGGGGGCTTGCACAATACATAATTTTCTAACCATTTATTGCAAGTTAAAAGGTATTTTTTTACTTGCCAAAGCAACACACAAATAAAATTACTGTGATAAACACAACCACATGTTTCAAGTGGTGTGTCTTTGCATGTAAGAATGTATGTAGGCCTTAATTCACAAAACTTAATTTAATTGTTTTGCCGGCACTCTCCTCACAATACAGTTGATGCAGCTCCTTCAAATTCATAACTAAGTAGCGCTTTTGAACTTTTTCTCCATCGATTTTAACACAATCTTTTATTCCATGAGACATTGATATATCTTCTCTTTCATAAAAAGTTTTTACTTTCTTCTGATGTTAAGTGAACTCGCTCTGTTTCTTTAGTAGTACATAGTCCATATTCAGCTCCCAACTGCTCTACAATAGGTCATCTTTTATTTGAAGATTTTGGAAGAACTTGTTTTTGTCTTTGATATAAAACCCAAATTATGCAAGAGCAATAATATTAAAAAATAAATCTATAATTATAAATATAATTAACTACTTATTTAATGCTTTTCTCATTGACGATTTGCAGTTATAAGAATTGTCAGGTGTAGAACTTAAACTGACGCTAGTATTGAAATCAATTCTTTTTTTCATTCCTAACATTTGGTTGCGAACCTTTGCTTGATTTTTTTGTTTGTTTTCTTTTCTTGGTGTCAATAACTGTCGCCTTTCATAACTTCTCTTTCTTTCTTTCTTTCTCCAACCATTTATTTCTGTTTCTTGCTCTATAAACTTTCCATCTTTCAGCTGATTTAGACATTTTTAAAATGTTTTTAAATATCACAGCTTCTGTTAGTGATAAAGTGTTGTGATGTATCTGTTATAGATTTAAACTTGATTTAAAAAATTGATTTAAACTTGATTTAAAAAAATCCCATGAAATATTATAAATAAAAAAAACAACCGCGAAATCAAATGAACAAAAACGTTGCAGTGCAAACTATAAACAATGTTTATTTCAGAAAAAATTTCCATCTCTTTAAAAGTTATTATTTCTTGAAAAAAAAAACTCTTCGAAAAAAAAATTGTTTGAAATTATAATTTTTTAAATTATATATATATATTTTTAATTATCTTTGCTTCCAACAAGGTTGCAAGCAACCACTAATTAGTGTTGGAAGTTACTGGAAGAGAAAAGATGAAGATTGTAGAGCAAAATAACGATTGACAGACGACTTAAAATATTGCAAATTATATGAATCAGGAAAGCAAGATGAAGGAAACGAATTCCAAAGAACTGATGTTCGAGGACTAGACGAATAAGAGTTTTTGGAGCACTTAGGAACAGTAACAGAAAAAGGATGAGACTTAATTGAATGACGAGTAACACGAGAATGAATTTTAGAAGATGGCACAATAGATGCTAGCTCTTTCGAGCAGTGCCCATTATAGTATTTGTAGAAAAGAGAAAGAGAAGCAACATTACATTATAAGCAACATTACTTATGATTTAAAAAATTTATATAAATTTTTTAAATTATATTACTTATAACTTAAAAACAGAACTAAGAAATACTTTATTAAGCTTTGTAATAAAACAAATTACAAACAAGACAATTAACGGAATTGATTTTTAACTTGGTTTAAATAATAAAATCAATTTTTACTTGGTTTAAATAATAAAATCATTTGCGCTTAAACTTTATATAAAGTCAAGAAGCTGTTTTGGAAAAACAAACATACCGTGATGGTCGTAACGTGCTTAATAACGTCTTGAAAATGTGATCTAAAGCCCTTATAAAAAAAATTTGAAACAATGATAAAATTTGTATTATTATCTTTACTTTTACCATAGTTGTAGTTTTAAAAAGTTTGATACAAAGCATAGAAAAAACTTTTTGACTTTTTTTCATGACAGTCGTAACGCATTGTTTTCATAAATATATTCTTCTTATAGACCTAGTTAGAGTGCGTTTTTATAAAAAAATATTATGAATAATGTTTAATTTATCTTTTAATTCAAACTTAGAAGTAATAGTTATTTAAAAACACAGCACTGAAACCTTTTTCAACGCTTCACAACAAGGCTGTATATAAACGTTAAAAAATGTTTATATAACCCTTACAACCTTATAACTATGTTATGGTATAATAAAAGGATTTTTTAAATAACTTTTTTCTTAAAGATATTCTTAAATAGTTAAAAAATAAGTTTATTGAGTTTACTATATGTTGGCGTAACATTTCTATTTATATATGTATATATATATATATATATATATATATATATATATATATATATATATATATATATATATATATATGTATATACATATATGGATTTATGTATAAATCTATCTATCTATCTATCTATATATATATATATATATATATATATATCTATATATATATATATATATATATATATATATATATATATATATATATATATATATATATATATAAATAAATATATATATATATATTATATTATATGATTTGTATATATATATATATATATATATATATATATATATATATATATATATATATATATATATATATATATATATATATATAAAGAGAGAGAGAGAGAGAGAGAGGGAGAGAGCTTTGTGTAACAAACCTTGCATTTCTGACTTTGTTCATTCAAGACATTAATAATTGCACTGAAAGCTTCAATATCTGCCATAAGAGCTTTATGTTTTTTAAGCATCGCCTATAAGAACAAACTTAATAGTAACAAAAAAAATATAACCAAAAAATATGTTATGTGACAAAATATAATTTAAAAATATTACAAGTGATATTATCAAGCCTGTTTAAAGAGATCTCTGCTGAGACAAGCTTTTAATGTTATTTTCTAATATTTAATTATTTCATAAATGACAGAAAATCTGTTTTGAGTTAATTAAACTAAGTTACTTAAAATAAATTATTTAATAAGATATTAACAAAAAACATTTTAGCTTTTTTATTTGTTGGCTTGCCATCCTCCTTCCATTTATAAGCTTAATTTTTTTTCTAATGACTTTGCATAATTTTTGCTTTAAAAATATAACTTATTTTTTATAAAAATGCATGCATGCATTAACAGTAGAAGTCTTTTTAAACAATTAAATTGATGCAAGTTTAAGTTTTACCTTTTTAAATTTATGTTTAGTGGTTATAATAAAATACTTATGCTGCATTTCAGTTTATGTGTTTTAAACTTTATAAAGTCACTGAATATTAAAAAAATAATAATCAAAGGAACTAAACTTTTTTACAACTTTTATTAAAACTTTTCTAAAAAAAATACATACACAATATTTAGTTTTCACTGGCAACCAGTAAAGTTATTTGTACAAGTAAATTTATTTGTACAAACCCAAAATTAAATCCAAAAAAGAAATTATTATTTCCAGTTTTTAGAGTTTAAGCAATTTAACAAATTTCTGAATAACTTTTAAATCTATATAACTTCTTTATATTCGATTTACTTCTCAGCATTTACTTCTTCACTTCTACTAGTTTTGTTTACATAGCATTTACTTCTTCACTTCTACTAGTTTTGTTTTGAAAATAAAACCAAAATAAAACTTCAAGTTGATTTTATGATTTAAAGATTTTTATACAGATAATTTACATTTTATAGAATTTTATATTCAATACTAAATTATATATATATATATATATATATATATATATATATATATATATATATATATATATATATATATATATATATATATATATATATATATATATATATAATTTTCAACTCAAGTAAGCAATAAAACTGTCAGTCACTTGCAGGGCAACCAGGAACTTACTTGGGTGAAAATACTGAAGAAAAAAAACTTTAACGCCTTACTACTAAAATACAATAAGAAACAGCTTAATTAAAAGTAAATTAATTATTAAAAAAAAGTGAAATGTTATGTTTTTTGAACTGTTAAAAAATATTGTTAAGTAACTTTAGTTACAAAGTGAGATTGGTAAGGAGATATATGGAAATACAACTTTTAAAGATTGCCATTTTTGTCGTAGTCGATATCTGTTTTGTGTTGTTTCTTTTTCTCAATCTTAACAAAGTTTCATTATGCAGAACAAAATAAGTTAAAAGCTATAACCACAAAGAAACATTTTATAAAAAGAAAAATATTCTATCATTTTCTTCTTCAATCAAATTTAATTTAGCATCATTAAGTGCATTCTAATAATGTTTTCTCATGTGCTTACTAATAATGGTTTATATTACTTTTTATTACTAATTTTGTTTGACAAATTTAAAATAAAAATTTATTTTACTAATGAAAAACAAAAGATATGTGTTATTAATGATTCGACTGCTCATTCGCATGATTTTTGAATTAAAAAAAAAAAAAATGTAATTTTAAAACTCATTTTAAATTGAGAAGAAATGTGCTTCAAAATGCAACAACAACATTTAAAAAAACAGTACAGTGGCACTTTGAAATATTAAATCACGTGTCGGCTTCTTTTTATTTCATTTAGTAAAACTATAACTCACCAGAGTGTTTTCATTATTGAATGAAGTGTTTATTACTTTAAATGTTTTGAAAAGGTTTCTTTTGAATAATCATAAGAAATAAAATCTTCATAGTTCATAATATAATTTTATTAATCAACACTCTTTTGTAAGAAACAAACTGTTTGGCTGTCCTGCCAGCATTTTTTTAAAATATATATGTATATATATATATATATGTATATATATATATATATATATATATATATATATATATATATATATATATATATATATATAACATTCTATTTTTGTGAAGGAGAGTACAGTATGTAAGCTAATAAAACTTTAATTGTGTTCATCATGAGGATGTTGGTTACATTATACATTCTGTATCATAATTATTTTTATTTAAACAAAGTGAACATTATTTTAATTCTGTCTGTTCTTTTTATTGCTTAGAAATAATGTATTTATTTATAATTAGTTTCAATAAACAACATTACTATTAATAGATATTTGAGGAATATTATTAATTATGTTGATTTAATCTAATTTGCTGAATTTTTAATTAAAGTTTTAAAATAAATTTTTTTTAAAATGAAACTTTTTAATAAAAAATTTAATTTCAATTTTTACAACAATTTTTAATGTTAAATAAATCAGACAAGATAAAATACATATATATATAACTACAAGCTGGAAATTTCCTTGCAAAAATATTAAAAACGATGAAGTGTTTTGTTAACAACTCAATAAATAATTTATTTTAGTTAAATAACCTTAAACTTATTTTCTAAGGTTTGTTTAAGATTACACAACATGTCTTAGCACTTGGGTATCCCTTAAATGTAATTTAGTAAAAAAATTAATTAATTGAGAAAAAAAATTCTCATAGATTTTATTGCTAAAAACTAAATCATTGCAAATATAAACAGTTATATTGTAAAAAAATTTTTGTTAGTCATGATTTCTTAACAATTACCTGAGCTGTGTCTTCATCTTTCCCATATTCAGAGTTACTAGCGAGTGGCTCTTTCTCTATAATCCAAGATTCAGCATCATCAGCATCAGCAATGTATTGATGAGTTTCAATGGCATCCAACAACTCTCTCATACGTAGATCACTTCGATTCTAATTGAAAAAAAAGTCTTCCATATGTAACTCAGTTTGTATAAAAAAAATATATATACTCATATAAAAAAAAAAAACGCTTACACACAGACCAGGTCAATTTTTACACAAAAAAAAAAAATTAAATTTCTAAAATTTTATTAGAATTATAAAACAAAACTTATATATTTAATGAGTCTATTAATGGGTTACCGGGCACCTGGGTACCCGCCTGTTGGTAGCATTTTAAAATGATCTGTCATTGATAAGTTTAAAATTTATTCCATTCATTTTTATACTTTTAAATTATTAATTGTAATATGCCAGTTTAAGAATATTAATTAGATTTATGAAAGAAGATCTTGAAGTTAAGCAGCAGTATTCACTTCTCTCTGTTAAACCCTGCGATAAGCTATTGGCTGGTTAATAGTAAACCAGCAGTTTTTAACACCAGCAATAGAATAAACTCGTATTCTTATGTCTTCATTTGATTAACGGCAAAAGTGAATTTTGTTATTTGCAAATTTATTTATAGATACAATTAAAAAAAAAAACGATTTTATTTTTATTTGGCAAGTACTTTATTATACACTCATTAAAGATTTAGCAGGGTTGTTTGTGAGCCCAAAAAGATTTGAGCGCTGAAGCGCTTGCTAAACAGAGAAGACTGATATGTATACATACATACATATATATTCATTTTTATTGTGTGTGGGTTGCTTGTGTATTATTATTTCACGTCACACAAAGCTTTTATTTTGTTCTGAAAATCCCTTTATTTATTTTATTATTTATCTTTATATCTTTATTTTTTTAATTATTCTATCATCCTTCAAAATTTTTTCCTTCATTTGGGCAGCTTTAGTCTTTTGATGCAAATATTTATTGTTTTTTTTACATTATGAGAAATTATTAGAAAGTGTCTGCACAGTTTTAAAAAAAGAATTTTAAATATTTTATAAAGTATATTGATGGGTTTATTAGGCATAATTTGACTTTATATAAACTAACCACTACTTATTATTAATAAAAATCATTTAAAAATCAATTAGTAAATATTTAAAAATAATTTTTACTAGATCAATTAGTAATCTTTGAAGTAACAATTAATTAAAACTATTTATAAATAAAAAAATAAACACCTTCAAATCATTCCACAAGTTACTTAAGTATTCAATGTTTGTTTTGATATCCTCACAAGCATAGTGACCTAAAAAATAAAATGATTAATTTAACATCAATTGAGAACTGAAATTTGAAAGCTAAAAAACGACAACAGAGCAATCTAAATTAACAAAACAATAACAACTAAAAATAACTGACTAGATAATTAACAGAACCGCAACTAAGAACTAAAAAAAACAAAAACTGAATAATAGAATAATTCACAGAACATCAATTAAGTACTAAAAAACAAGAAGCTGAATAATCAAATTATTTACAGAACAATCAAGAACTAAAAAAAGAAAAGACAATTTAAACAATTAACGACAAAAAAAAACTATAACACAAAAATTTAACAAAATTTATTTACAAAATTTAGTAATATTTGTAGTGATAGACAGCAATTTAGCCATGAGGTTCGCTAGCAAGATAAGCTAGTGGTCAGCTAGCAAAAATTTGTATTCTATTTTTATTTATTACTTATTTATATTTATATAATATACTACAATATTAAATGTTATTATCTTACTTTAGCTGCAAACTGGTTTGTAAATCACACAACATGCAATATTAAAAATTAATTCCAGATTTCAAACTTTTTTTCAAACTTTTTATTTTGTGCTTGTGATTGTATCTTTTTTCAAAGTTTTATTATTTTTTTGCTTGTGATTGTATCTTTTTTTCAAACTTTTTTTAATTTTTGCTTGTGATTGTATCTTTTTTTTAAAACTTTTTTTATTTTTTGCTTGTGATTGTATCTTTTTTTAAAACTTTTTTTATTTTGTGCTTGTGATTTTTTTAATTTTTAATATTTTTTTAATTTTTATTATTTTGCTAGTTTAATCTAAAACCAACAAACTACAAAGCTACAAAATGTGGCTATCAAACAGATAGTAACTTGTTGTTATGTTTTAGTTAGCTACAATAATCAGCACTAGCCAAAAAGATCATATTGCTTTTTAGTAACCAATATTGACAACCTATAAATTTATAGCTATGTTTTAGCAAGCTAAAAAGCTACAATTTGTAGCTACCAATAATTTTTTTAAAATTGCAAATTAAAAAACTTTGATATATATATATATATATATATATATATATATATATATATATATATATATATATATATATCGCTTTAACAAAAGGTGGCTATAGTCACATAGTAGCTATAGAATTGTCTTTATGTAGTGGCTAATGACAAAGATACAATATGTAACTATTGATATATCGTAACAACATTGCTAACTAAAAAGCTACAATATGTAGCCATCAACTTGCTTTGGATTTATTGTTAAGTTGTAGTTAACTACATAACTACAATCTGTAACTATCAATATATCATAGTAATAATGTTAACTTCAAAGCTGCCATATGTAGTCATGAACTATGGGCAAACTTGTTGTTATGTTGTAGTTAGCTACAATGGTGCAATATGTAGCTAATTATATATCATAATAATATCGTTAGCAACAAAGCTGTGATACCTAGATAACAACATGTCATAATAAAATCACAATGTTTTAAGTTGAATTCAAATTTATAATGTGAGGAAAAATATCGCTTAAAAATAACTATAAAGCTATTCGCTTATTTTACTTCCCAGTTATAAAAACTTATTTCCCAGCAGCAAAGTTAAGAAAATAAAAATTTCAAAAAAAACCCAATAGTTTGAGACAGTTACAATATTTATTACTAATATTAAAAACTAATCAAAAAACTTAACTTATTTTCTATTAAAACTTGTCACAACAACTAACACTTAACACAGCATAACTATGATATGCATTACAACAATATAACTGTAACATGTAACACAACAACAAAAACATGTAACACAACTATAATTTGTAACACAACAACATAACAATATCATGTAACAACACAACTATAACATGTAACACAATAACATAACTGTAACATGTAACATAACAACACAACTATAAGATGTATCAAAACATCATAATTATAATACTTAGCAAGACTTCCAGCAAATTATTAGTTAAAACCATTACAAATGTCTATCAAACCTCAACAGCTAAAAAATTGTAAAAATAAATAAAACAACTCATTTATTTAGAAAAATAACCTGTGTTTGTTTTACTGAACAATATAATAAACTAAAGGATTTCCCAAGATTACCAAAATTATAACCAAGATAATGAACACACATGTATATATATATTAATATATATATATATATATATATATATATATATATATATATATATATATATATATATATATATATATATATATATATATATATATATATATATATATATAAGCATAAACACACAAGTAAAAAGTTCCAGGTAACAAAAGAAAAACTATTCAAACTTAGATGAGTAAAATATATTTATTAGTTAACTTTAAACAAATATTTTAAATTTTTTTTCTAACACAGATATATATATATATATATATATATATATATATATATATATATATATATATATATATATATCCTTATAGTGTAGTTGAAAGAGACTTTTATGGTAAAAAAAAAAAGTCTCTTTCGACTACAATTTTTTTACCTTGTCTCTTAAAGGGATCCTAAACTCCCAACACATGTTGTGTTCATATTAAAGATAATGTTAAAAAAAAAGGTTTGAGCCAAGTTTTTTTGATTAAAAATAAATAATGAATGCATACCGAGAAAAATTAACGTTGTTGTTTTAGCCGAAGCTCGCCTTATCCATTTTTTTGAATAACTCGGAGTCTTTAAATTATAGGTCGCAATCTACAGACTTTGGCAATTCCTTTGAAGCGCGTTTAATTCATAAAAGTTTTAGTATTTGATGTCACGGTAGACTTTTAACAAACGTAACTCTGGAAATATTTTTATTTTTATTCAAACTTTTTTTTGATTATTTGTTAAGTTTTTTTTTCTTTCTATATTTAACATTTAGAAAGATATTAAAAACCTCAAATATTTTATGCTGGTTCGTTGCTATAAATTGTTATTGTGCTATATATTTAATGTTTATAAATTATGAATATTTATTATCTCAATCAAGACTCTGATAAAAAATTGTTTTACATTAATTACCCTTATACAATTAGTAAAAGCATTTTTATTTGGTTAGATAATATTTCGTCTCAATTTGCTTGGCATGAAGTTCGGGAAGTCAAGCGAAAAAAATTAGTTTGAATAATCACTTTGAAATATGTTTAAAACAAATTATTTTAATGACGGGGGTTTAAAAGTTTTTAATAACAAATCTAAGTAAAAAATTGAACTAAATTTACTTATTATTTAGAACGACTAAGCAATAAAAATAAAAAGCCCCTAAAATTATGCGATATTGTGTTGTTTATTTGATAATTGCTGTTGGTAATGTTGTTATTGGTAATGTGGTTTATTGGTAATGTTGTTTATTGGTTTATTTTGTTTGTTGGTAATGTTGATTATTTTCATTAATATCAAAGTAGTCCCAGATTAATCTGTTAGTTGCTTTGTTCATTGTTGCTTTATTTCTAATTTAATTTTATCTCTAAGTATAAACTTATGTTAAGAAAGAAAAGTTTTTATTTCATCGTTTGCTCTTTTTATAAAAGAGTAGAACAAAAGAGAAAGAAGAGTTTCGCGTAATTAAACTTCGAATGAATAAAAGAGTTGTATAGAATATATATATATTTTTTTGCATCACTCGTTCTTTTTTTAGGTGAGAGAAATAAAAGTTTAATAGTAACTTTTCTTTGAATAAATGAAAATTGGAAGAGAAAGTTGCTTGAAAATTTGTATTTGTTGTGTTTTAAAATTTTTTAAATAATTCATGTTAAGAGACAAATGCCAAATACGATACAAATTAGGAAATACCAAATATAATAAGTTTTTTAATGCGCGTAATAACATTTTGACAATTTAAATTACTATTTATCTTGAATTATTGTCATTAATGTGTTAATTATTGCGTTATATAAAAATAATTTGTCCGTATTTTGTTAAATATTAGTTGTATAAAACGGGCGAAAATATACAAACTTCATGTTTTTATTTGATGGTTATAAAATATTGAACAGTAAACTAATAATCAAAATATATAATGCCGACTTGTGTTGTTATTAATTGTACTTTTAATGCAAAACCAAGATCTCACATATCCTTTCACGAATTAGCATATCTGATACTACTGTCAACTGTATTGTTTAGTGTATTCTTGTACCCTTTTTTCATAACCTTAACAGGTTCTAATTGGTATGGAGTTGCCGACATTTTAAAAGTTTCATTATCAAAAATCAAATGTAAAATAAAATGATATTTCCTTTTTATCCGTATCCAATTTAGCAAATTTACCAATTTAAAATAAATATGCTTAATCAAAAAATTTTTATAATAAAAAAAGTTAACAATTCATCATATCTCTAATTAATACTGTCAGTTTATGAAATTATTTGTTAATATTTTTTTTTGACGGGAAAACAAAAAATATTATAACGTAAAAATAACCAGAGAAGTTAGAAAAAAGTTCCCATTGTTTAAATAAAAATAAGTAAAATTCAGAATATATAATACTGCGCTCTTTTGCACAAAAACGGAGACCGTATACATAACGTTCTATTTAATGTAAAACACTCGTATGAAAATCATAAGTTTCGTAAGTAAAGCTTTAATATTTGTTTTAATTTAAAAACAAAAGAAATATAAGTAAGATATATAAATCTAAAAATTATTAAGATATTGGTAAAAAAAAAGTTCCTCTTATGAAAAAAAAAGCTTTTATTATTTTTGATTTTTACAAAAATTTGTTGTAAAAGTTGTTTTGCTGTATGTTAAAATTTTTTTTTTTGAATTAAAATAGAAAAACGCAGCTTTGTTTAATTACACTTTTCTTTTGTTAAAAATCTATCGTGACATCAAATGCTAAAACTTTTATGAATTAAACGCGCTTCAAAGAAATTGCCAAAATCTGTAGATTGCGACATATAATTTAAAGACTCCAAGTTATTCAAAAAAATGGAGAAGGCAAGCTTCGGCTAAAACAACAACATTAGTTTTTCTCGGTATGCATTCATTATTTATTTTTAATCAAAAAAACTTGGTTCAAGTTTTTTTTTTTAACATTATCTTTAATATGAACACAACATGTGTTGGGAGTTTGGGATCCCTTTAAGCTGCATTTTATTGTCGTTGAAATGTCAAAGCAATTAAATTAATGCGGAAGTACATTAAATTATATATATATATATATATATATATATATATATATATATATATATATATATATATATATATATATATATATATATATATATATATATATATATATATATATATATATATAATTTACTGTACTAAAATTTGCAAAATTTAATTTGCTAAAATTATATCAAGTTTCTGGTTCCTTTACTTAACAGCAATTTAAAGAAATCAACATTACATAAATGATTAGAAAATAAAAGTCTAACCTTCTTTAACTAAATTATTCCCTGTTAAGCAAACTTCTGCAATATCTTTTTCATGAAGAGATATTTCGGCCTATTTAAAAAGATTTTTATTTAAATTGTTTTTTTGAACTAGTCTAAATTAAAAAAAAGAAAGAACCATTTTAGATTTATAGATAGACTTTTATTATTTACATAATATATCTGGTATTAAGGTCTTATGTACACTTGTACATATTTCAACACTCGCCACAAATATAATATCAATAAAAATGTAGAAAAAAAACTATTTCCTTTAAAAACTTTATTTTGAACCAAACCTGATAAAAATCTTAGTTACTTGTATAAAGTTTTTAAATTTAGTTCAAATATTTATGCAAATAACTTTAAAGGTGTAAATACTCAATTGAAAATATTTGGTCGTTTAGCCAGATGTTATCATATACACACTAAACAGGGTGGTCACATAAAATATTCATAAGAAAGAGGATATTAGATAATTTTAGACATTTTCCATCTAATTTAAAAGATTTTTTTTTGCAAAACTACGATACTTTAAATAAAAATGGAGGATTTTTTTATTTTTTACAAGTTTTACACCGACACTTGTGGGTTTTAGACTGGGATCAATATCATTTTTTATATAAAATGACATGGATTTGCTAAAGTGATTCTTTCAACCCAATGCCCTTTACTGTGTTAACAAATTTCGCAGACCTAGAATATTTTTAACATAATACTTCTTTTTCAAAAAATAATTAAAAAAAAAAAAAAATTGATCACATTTTCAACTTTTTAGAAGAAAATAAAGGATTTTAGAGAAGATTTTTAAAAAAAGAAGAATTTAAAAGATTTTAAAGAAGCTGTGGCCACCCTGTTAAAGCCAGATGTTATTAAATACATCTAGCTTTAATGTAAAAAAATGTTTAATATTACTTAAGAATATAACATAATATCTAATTTATAGGTGTAAATAAATTTTAAACACTTTAATATAAAATTACCACTAAAGCTTGATGTTTTTTCAAGAGATTTTGAGCACCTATCAAATCTTTTCCTAAAAAATAAAAGGTCTATACATATAATATTTTTTGTTACTTTAAACTTGTGATAACTTTTAATGGGAATGACAATTAAAAATTCATCCCTGTATAGTGGACTAAAATATTTGCCTAGTCCTAGTGTTAGCATAGATACATCCTTGTATAGGGGTTAAAATACCCCCTAGTCCTGGTGTTAAAAACATTACCTTCTGCCTCATACTAATAATATTTACTCCCTTTAGACCAAGTGTACATTTTTTGTTTGTAATTATTAAAGTTTATTATCATTCTTATTTATCATTAGATGTTTCTAATCACAACCTGACCATACATAAAAAAAAAAACTTAATACTTAATAGGCAATTTGTTACCTTATCACTTGTTACTATTTATTTATATATTTTAAATTTTCACCGGTGTGCAATGAAGAAACAATTGGTTCCTTTTCTTTAATCCAACTTTCTTCATCTTCTATATCATGTAGGAGCTGATGATATTTTCTAGAATTTTCTAAATCTGTCTTACGCTTATGAAGAGGAATGTCAATACGGCTATAACGATCAGCTACTGAAGCTTGTTTTATTAGTATTGCTTCAGAATTAAAGTGATTGTTAGCTATGAATTGAGATGCTGCCTCTTTTATAACTTGAAGTGGCTCCTTTAAGCAAAAGAAAAAGAAAATTTACATTCTTCTATTTTTTTTTAATTTATTAAATATTTAAGCAAATTCCTTCTAATATTTACTTTTGATGCTTTATTTTTATACATTATAATACTTTGTTTTAAATAACATACTTTATTAAACAAGAAAAAATATTTTATACATAATTTATAAGAAAAAAATTGCTCAGTAATATATTTTACCTTGTGAGAAAGAACATCTGCCTCTAACAAATTTAATTTCTTCTGTAGATTCTTTACACTTGCTAAGTTCTAAAAGAAATAAAAAAGCTATTTTATACATAAAACTTGTAATTGTAAAAATTAAAAAAACTTTAAATTTCCCTTCTATTTTTTAAAACTCTGCATCCAAATAACAAAAAACTATTTTCAAAAAACAAAATATTTGTCAAATAACAAATATTATTTCCATACAGTAAAATAAAAATACATCGATATTTTTCAAAAAAAAAAAAAAAAAAAAAAAAAAAAAAAAATTGAGAATAAAAAAAAAATAATTAATAAACAAAAAGTTACAACTTAGCATTTAATTAATTAAATTTACAACAAAAAAATCTACAAATGTCAAATAGAACAAAAACATTAGAAACATCTAAAGTATGCTACTAAATTAAAATAAAGTTTTCATGAAATTTTTTCTTTGCACATGAATGCAGTCATCTCAATAGTTTGAGCGCAATAACAACTAAATAAAATAATATTTTCAAAATATAATAAATTGTATGTTTTTCGTTTTTTTTTAATTAATTTTATGTTTACAAAATTAACATGTTTGTAAACATAAAGTTGATTACATATTTTGTTTCCTGCTATAATTCAAACAAAGATCAAGATAAAATTATTTTAATTAAAAGGTAAAATTATTTTAATTAAAAGGTAAAATTATTTTAATTAAAAGGTAAAATTATTTTAATTAAAAGGTAAAATTATTTTAATTAAAAGGTAAAATTATTGGTAAAAGTAAAAATTAAAGTATTATTACTTTTTTTTTTTCTAGGTTTTAAAATTTAAAATAGAAGGAATCTTTTTTGAAAAATTTAAATGGAATTCTTATATTTTTCAAAAAAGATTCCTTTTGTTTGAATTTTAAATAATTAAAATACCATAGCTTCAAATAAACCATATTTAACCAGCTTTGTTACAACTTTTCTTATTTAATCAGCAAACCTTTTTTTTTTATTTTTAAGAATTTTTTTTTACTACTATTATCTGCTGAAGACAAACTGATGCGTTAAGTAATAAGACAAAAAACAGCAACAATGATTGCTTAACTTGTTTAATAAAACAACTTTTGTGAAATTTTTTTTACAAAAAACCAGTAAACAAGACTAAAAAAAAAAGTTATAAATTCATAATTCTAAAAAAAGAAAATAATTATTAAAGTTAAAAATGTTAAAAGCTGAACAAGAAAAAAAAAAAAGACAACCCTTAAAAACTTTAAGTAAAAACTTACTTTTCCAAGGTCATCAGACTCCAAATGCATTTCTGTTTCACCTAGCCACATTTCAAAATCTTCAATACTTCTTACAAATTGTTGTTCCAAATTTGCTTCAGAAAGTCGCTGTGCTAGAAGCAATTTAACAATTTTGCTTCATAAAGTCAATGTGCATCAATTTAACAAAGTGTTTATTTACCTTTTTTTTTTTAACAAAGATGTTTTATAAAAACCTGATTAACTAAATAATTTTACAACAACACATTACCAGAAATGCTGAGTCCCAAAAAGAACTTTATTTAATGAATTTTTGATTAATAAAAGTTCTAAATAAGATGTGACTATTAAATGGTCAAACCTTCTAAAAACATAATGAATAAATATTTAATGGTGAAACAATTGACAATTTTAATTTATTAAATGATAATTTCAAAATTATGTTAAATATAAAATGGAACAAAGAACCATGAGGGCTATAAAATAATAAAGAAACAAGGCAATAAAAAAGTGAGACGTGTGACAAAAAAGAATTAAGAAAACTACCAAGAGAAAAAGAAGTAAAAAACCAAAAAAATATGAAGAATGTAAAAAGGTTTATTTTAAAACAATTTTGACTTTTTTACACATATAAAGGTTTTAAGGAATGTTCTTTCACTCTTTCAACTTAATAATATTGCACAAAAATGTGCAAAAAAAAAAAAAAAAAACAAACATAATAATTTCCTAATAAAACCTCAAATATACAAACAGAATATCAAACTGGATAAAATATATTTTTTAGAATGTTGTTGTGGAATGAATGTTTTTGAACAAAGTTTAACTATAAACTTTATACTTCATGTATCAAACCACTGTGGTGTTTTTTATATTGTTGTTGTTATAATAGTTTTTGTTTTTGTTGTAATTAGTAAAATCTAAGATATTGCATTAAGTGTGCTAATAACCTACGTTCCTTTAAACTAATCATTGTAGTTTCCTGAATGATAAAAAAACTTGATCACAAAACCTTAATACAAACTGACTCAATGATGATTTAATTTAAATTTTTTCTACAGATGGTAAGCAACACTGCTCACATTTGTAACTTGCAATCTTGTTATTTAAAGTTCACATTGTAAACTCTTTTTAAAAAACTTACTTTTTTCTTCAGCTTTTAGGTTAACTTCTTCCCATCCCATTTCAACTTCATTGATTAATGTTAAAATTTCATTTTTGGCATAGTGAGCACTATCAATCAGTTCATGGCCTCTTTCTTTCACGCTATCAATTCTAGATTTATTTGCATTGAGTTCTAACAAAAATGCATGTTGTTTTTGAATCTTGCCTTGTAAGTTAATTGGATCCTGAACAAGCAATTAAATAGTTTACTTTAATTTTTTTGAAATAATTTTAATTAACTTTAAGTTAAACATATGATAACATATACAGATGTAATAAAATTTTTGCAACATTAGAAAATTGAAATTTATAAAAAATCCTTAAAAAAATCCTTTACTTACACGAAAACATTCATCCTGTGCTACTTTCAGTTTTTCTTGTAACCATATCTTAGTCTCCTCTGCTTCTCGTTCAAACTGGTAAAACTGTGATGAATCACCTAGTTTTGATCTACGTAAACTTGCAAGTTCCCATAATCTGTTGCGTCTGTTTATAATCTAAATATAAAACAACATAATAAACTCATAAGTTCCTGGAGTCTGTTTTATCTGGGTATAGTCTTTATATGAAAAAAACTCATGCATTCTATAAAAAAATTTATTCATAAAAATAAAATAGAAATAGAACTAAAGCATAAAAGAAAACAACAAAAACAAGATACTCACATGTTCTTGTTTTGCTTTAATTTCTTGAATAGCAGAATGATTTTGAGAAGCTAAGCGATCTGCAAACTCAATAATAGCCTTTACAAAAAATGAAACAATTACATCACTTTTATTTCTAACATTTATAGCACATATAATACAAAATGAATTGAATCTAATTGAAACCTCAATTTTTTCCTCTTGAGTCTGTAATGCATTCTCAAACTCTTCCTGTTTCTTTTTCAACTTGTCTGCACCATCAACTGAATCGCTATCAGGTTCTGAGCATAAGAAATTCTAATAAATATAATCAAAAATTCTTTTAGTATTGAAAGCAATCAGGAAGTATTGAAATGTGATAATGAAGTAAAAAACTAAAGTTTAAAAATAATAACATATTTGACCTGCAATAACTTAAATGTTATTAAAAAGAAATATTACTTCTTGTTTAACCATTATAGATTCCATTTGATCAGCATCTCTCATAAACAGTTGAAAATCTAGTCCTTGGTCGTATTCTTTTTTTTTCTCTACCCAACACTCAATGACTTTTTGACGCTCTTTTTGTAAAATTGCAATCTCATTTTCAACATCAGGCTTTCCACAATGCTCATCTTCTATAATTTTTTTTCCAAGAGCAATTGTTTTTTCGAACCCATCTTCTGAAGCATCGATATAACCCTGTTTAAAAAAAAAAGTGATCTTGACCTTTAGGCTCAAATTAGACTAAATATATATTATTACTAAAAGTTATTATAAGTTGTCAAATATACAACATTATTAGCTGAGATGTTATATGATGTAATTTATTTTAATGGTATTTTAATTTTTTATATATTGAGATTAGTGAGTGACCGGAAGATGATGGAGTTTTTTAAAACCTTGACTTGGGTAAATAATACCATTAGCAGGAGTTGGAGATAATGAATAATAGATTATATATTATACATTTATTTATATATTTGCTATTTATTTATATACTACCATTTAATATGCATAATATTATACATTATGCTTACATATTATAATATACATACAATAAACATATATAAATATAATATATATATATATATATAACATATATATATATATATATATATATATATATATATATATATATATATATATATATATATATATATATATATATATATATATATAAATCATTCAATATCAAATTTCAATTTCTAATAAAATAACTATTCAACCTTTTTCTGAAAAAGCAAAGAAAAACCTACTAGCAGCAAATTAGGAAAGTTGACTTTACAGTAGTTTTAAAAGATATTAAAGGTTCTCCTTAAGGTCAGCAATGTTATTTTAAATAACTTTAATTGAGATATAAAACAAAAACAATAACATTGATACTATACTATATTTTTGATTAAAGAGAGTTATAATGCATTATAAGTTAGTAAATAAAGAAAGTTAAGTGTTATAAGTAAGGATGAAAATTTCCCTGAAATTTTTAATTCCTGGAAATTTTAGAAATTTTCAAAAAAAGATGTCTTTTTATAACTAATAGGTAAAACTTTATCTCTTATTTAGGCAGTTTTTATAGACAATTTTATGGTAAAATATCTTGAAGCAGATTATAAACATTTTAGAAAACTCTGTGTAAAATACTTTTTTTGTTATTTTGTTTTGGAGTTTTTTTATTGGAACTATAAGTAGCAACTATGATAATTTGTTTTCAAAATTTTCTAAAATTTTTATCTTATCTTGTCCAGTTATTTGTTTAGTATATTGACATTCAGTGCTGTCGCAAGCTTTTTTTGGAAATCAAGAAAAAATTGTAAAATTGTATGTTACAATTTTTTTCTTAATTCAACGACTTTATTAATGGAAGGTAAAACATTTTTGCTAAATTTGAACTATTTTGTAGCTTTTTTAACAAATGCGCAATTCATAAACTTGATTATAAAGACTTAACCAAAAAACATACATTTTTTTCTTGTGGATCTATACTATTTTACACTTTTGGTTGAGATTTTAATGAATACCCAAATACTAAAATGATCAAACACATTTTTTGAAACAAAAAAAAATTTATAAATGTATTTAAGTTTATTTCAATAAAAATTTTTGAAAATTTTCCAGGAAAAATTTGAGCAAATTTTTCATGGAAAACTTCCAGAAATTAACATCCCTAATTAGTAAATAAAATGAGTAAATAAAGAAAAAATAAAATAGTAAAATAAAGTATAATAAAATAAAAAGTAAAATAAAAAATAAAATAAAAAGTAAAATAAAGTTAGTAAATAAAGAAAATTATATGTTATAAGTTAGTAAATAAAAATGCTTTATTGTATAACTTACACCTAATATGCCTATTAGAAATGTTAAATCTGCTTTATTTATAAGGATTTTATGTAATTTAAAAACTACAACTTTATTTTGGTGATAAAAAGATTATTTTAACTTTTAATATTTATTTTCACAAGTTTAAAGTTAACAATAAAATTAAACAATTACCTTGTGCTCATCATGCATTTCTTGCAATGCTTTAGCACTTTCAACATCGCTTCCTTTTTTATCCGTTTTAATCATCGAAACCATATCATTCACAAATGACTGATAATCACTAAAAATAATTTTTACATTCACACATATACACATGTGTTTCATTTACACACATATAAATGTGTTTACATTCACACATATACACATGTGTTTACATTCACACATATACACATGTGTTTACATTCACAAATATACACAAGTGTTTACATTCACACATATACACATGTGTTTACATACACACATATACACATGTGTTTACTAGGGTGTCCCAAAAAACAACATTTTTGAAAATAATCTGCTCTCACCCCCTAAATGTGTTCTATCTAATACAAAAACACTAGGTTTAAATTTTTTTTGAATTAAAAATATTTTTAAGGGGTCCCTCAAGACCCTTGAATATTTAATGGGTCCCTAATATTTTTGAAAAAAAAGTTTTTCAAAAATATGTCAACCTGGTACTCCAATGAAGCAAAATTATATAAATATTTCAAAAATATTATTCATTTTGAAATATTTTTAACTTATTTATCAAGATTATCAAAAAAAAAACATTAGAAATACATTTTTTTCATTTTTTCTTAAAAAACGCAATTTTTTATGTAATAAAACCAAAAATAACAATTTTGTTTTTAAATGAATATTATTTTTAAAATTTTTATATAATTTCGCTTCATTTGAGTACCAGGTTGACATATTTTTGAAAAACTTTTTTTTCAAACATATCAGGGACCCATTAAATATTCGAGGGTCTTGAAATTTTAAAAAAAAAAATTTAAACCTAGTGTTTTTGCATTTAGGGGGTGAGAGCAGATTATTTTATAAAAATGTTGTTTTTTGGGACACCCTAGTGTTTACATACACACATATACACATATGTTTACATACACACACATATAAACATGTATTTACATACACACAAATAGACATGTGTTTATATCATAAGGCATAAAATAAAGAGATTACTTTTTCAACATACCGTGATTCAGAAAGAAATTTATGCAAGCAGAAAGAATCAGCTAAGTTTTTTTTTCGAACAAAAGCCTAAATATAATATTTCAGATTTTTTATAAAGAATAAATTTTATATTAATTTCATTATTAAATTCATAAAGGTTCTATTAATATACTTATGATATTTATTTCTACAAGAAAATTAAAATTATGTTTCAACGATAATTAAAATTATGTTTCAACAAAAAGTTGAAGTTCATGTTACTAATTGTATTTTATAACATTTTAACAATTATAATCCATATGGAATAAAAGAAACATATGTTATAATATATGTTTCTTTTATTCAATTTCCTTTTTTCTACAATTTTTCTACAATTTTTTTTTCTAACAAAAGCCTAAATTTATTACAATTATTTATATCAAATTTTATATCAAATATAAAATTTATATCAAATATAAAATATTTTAATTATTAAATAAAACAGTATTGTTTGGGTCTTTCTTAAAAGTTTTCATGAGTTAAAACTAAAGAAGATGTGTTCAGGAGATTGTTGGGGACCACAGACCCCTACATTTCATCACTATGAAAATAAACACAACATTTTCATATTTTGACCAGCTTTTTTGATATCTCACCCACAGTGTACTCTTATGACTCACCACATAGACTATGATTCATGTTATGGGGCTATTTATATTTCTACTGGGTATTTATAACTACTAAAACTGATAATAGCTTTTTTATCATTTTTCTTATAATTTAGCCAAATTAAATCCTTTAATCTAAATTTAATGAAATACCAACTTTCACCCTTATTATACAATAAACTTATGAATTTTATGTATAATACAATTTTATTGTTAACAAATTTATTGTTAAAATTTAAAAATATTTTCCTGCAGTTTGCTAAGGGTCAAGAGTGCTATGTGTTAAATTTTAATAAGCAATATTCCCAAAACCACTAGGAATTAGTTAAAATCAAATAAACTTCATGTTCCTCACAAATTAAAAAAACCAAGTAAATTTGAGATTCTTATCTTTCTATTGTTAAACCTTATCTTTCCACAGTCAAACCTCGGCTCTTACCTGTTTGCAGTCAAACATAATTTCCTAACTAACTAATTAAAAATTCTGCAATTATTTTATAATTAGTTAATTAGTTAGTGTTAAAACTGTGCTAATCCACAATCTGAGATGTAGCAACATACAGCTATAGCAGCACAGTACGTTTTTTGCTGCTTTAAAACAAAGTTTTTAACCATTTTATGTAAATGTTTTTAACATTTTATGTAAATAACAAAAGACTTTTTTAAATCTTATTTTGCTTTTTTTCTACATTAAGTCATATTATTATATAATGTTATTATTACTATATAAGTCAACTTATTATTTGACTTGTTTTGAGATTGATAATTTCAATAAGATTGATAACTTCTAAATAATATTTTGTATAAGTAAATTAAGACTCTGCATTTTCTTAAGTTTTAAAGTTGCTAAACCCATTTTAACTTGTCGCTTTTCATAACTAAGCACTCTATTTAAGTATGGTATTTTTTCAGCCTTTGGTTGAACTCTTTTAGCCATAGAAAATATTGCTGAAATTGGCAACTCTGTGCTGGAGCCAAAAATTCAAGATAAGATTGCACATTTGAAGAGTGCAAAATTGTACACTGCCTATGTGGGGGCTTCATATCAATGTATTCATACCCAGTTGTACAAAAATACCTAAATCATCAAAAAAAAAGACTATCTGAAACTAAATGCTCCAGAATTATATCCCAAACAAGCTTTTTAAACATTTTACAAATTACAGATGTTAAGGATACTGGTCTATAATTTTCTGGTTCAAGTTTTGATCCACCTTTATAAATTGGAAATACGTTTGCAACAATGGTAAGGGACACATCCAATGTCAAAAATCAATTTAAAGATATGAATAATTAGGTCAACAAAACATTCTGCAGCATGTTTTAAAACAAATAGGATAATTTCTCAAAACCTATTGCTTTTGACTAGTTTTTAACAATAACATTTTTGGTATTTTCTCATTGGTGATCATATTAGATAATTTTCTGCAATCACACTGATTTTCACATGTAAGAACTCAAGCTTCTGATTTTCTGATTTTCACATGTAAGAACTATTGGTTAGTCATTAACAAAGACTAACTTAAATTTCTTAATATATTTGCAATGTCTGATATTTCAGTTGTAATTTGTTCTACTTTACTCTTGACTGTTCTAATATTGGGCTTAACACTTTATTTTTTTTATTTATGAATAAAAGTTTAGGCGTAAGCTTTGCTCTCTTTGTTCTTTGCTCCATTTCTCAAGTTGATCTTTGGATTAGTTTTTTAACATTAGCGCACTTTTTGTTAAACGCATTTCAAGATTCTTGACTTGACTTATGTGATCTTTTATGTAAACTTACCTTTTTAAAGCAAAACTTATGTTTTTTTAATACTATATTGCCAAGTGATAGAATAATGATACTATAGAAGATATATATATATATATATATATATATATATATATATATATATATATATATATATCTTCTATAGCTGATTTAGACTTTAGTAGCATTTGCTCACTAGTTTTGCTTATCTTCATAGCATATGGCATTTTCAGAAAAAGAAGAAAAAAACAATGAATAATAAAAGAAAAGATTGCCACCCCACCCCAAACCCTCAGTTGATGTAGCAGCTCTCTGCTACGAGTCAGGCTATTTGTAAGTCGACGTATGCACTGAAGCCCCATGCAGCAGACTATTTCAGTGTGACATCAGAGTGCTTACCTAAACTAGCAATTTAAGTTATATATTATATATATATATATATATATATATACATATATATATATATATATATATATATATATATATATATATATATATATATATATATATATATATATATATATATATGTATATATATATATGTATATGTATATGTATATATATATATATATATATATATATATATATATATATATATATATATATATATATATATATGTATATATATATGTATATATATATATATACATATATATATATGTATACACATATATATATATATATTATATATATATATATATATATATATATATATATATATACACTTACTAAAGCGTGTATATATATATATATATATATATATATATATATATATATATATATACACGCTGTGTATATATATATATATAAGTGTATATATATATATATATATATATATATATATATATATATATATATATACACTTACTAAAGCGTGTTTTGATAAGCATTTGCTCACTTTTTCTGCTTACCTTAAGCTATACCGTGTTTTTCAAAAAAGAAGAAAAAAAAATGAATGATGAATGAAACGATTGCTTCCCCATCCCAAACCCTCAGTTGATGTAGCAGCACTCCATTGCGAGTCAGGCTATTTGTCAGTCGTTGTATGTACTGAAGCCCTCAGCAGCAGGCTATTTCAGTATGACGTCAGATTGCTTACCTTAGTACGCAATACTATTTGTATATATATATATATATATATATATATATATATATATATATATATATATATATATATATATATATATATATATATATATATATATATATATATATAGAGAGAGAGAGAGAGAGAGAGAGAGAGAGAGAGAGAGAGAGAGAGAGAGAGAGAGAGAGAGAGAGAGAGAGAGATTCAAAAAAAATAATTTGAATTTTGAAACTCCAGTGATTTCAAGTGATGCAGTAGGGCAAAAAAGTATGAAATTCAAAAAAACCTTCCTTCTTGATCATAAAGGATCAAACCAATCAAATTATGTATGTAATTTTGAGTCTCAAGAGAGACAAAATTATACAAAAATTTGAAAAATTTATATATATTCATTTATATACATACTCATATACAAATATATATAATATGCTTAAAATAAATTCTTTTAACAAGCATTCACAACCTTTTCCTGCAAATTTTTCCAGTACAAACTCAGCTCATTTTCTTTTTCAATGATAGTTTTTTCAGCATCACCATACTTTTTCTTTAAATCACTGGCTTCATTATTTAAAATTGATACCTTTAAAAAAAAGTTATGCCTTAAAAAAAATGATACCTTTAAATAAAGCAAAAATAAAAATAAGTTAAAAACAAAAAGTTGAAAATAGCAAAATTATTAAATATTAAAATTATTAAATATCACAAATTACTTTGACAGACAAAGCAGCAAGGTCTCGTTCTAATGTTTCATGTTTTCTTTGTAATGCAGTGACACTTTGTAAATCATCTCCTATATCTGGGTTGGACAAAATATCATTTTTTTCGCTCATCCATACAAGACTCTCATCAACATCTCTAAAAAATATTATTACCCAAACAAAAATTTAGTTTAAGCTCAATATTAAAATTGTTATTAAACATAAAAATAAGTTAATAACTTGAGTTTCAATGAAAAATTTATGCAGGTCCACACTTAATTTATGCAGGTCCATGTGACACTTATATATAATTATATAAACTAAAAAGTTAAAATTTAAAAATCTAAAATGTCTAAACAAAGAAAACATTGTAAAAAAACAACAACAAATAGTTAAAAATAACAACAACAAAAATGAAAAATTTTAAGAAGCTATAGTAAAGCTGGTAAAAATATTACACTATTTTAATCAAATAAAAATGTGGCACTCTTTTTAATTAAATAAAAATATGACACTATTTTAATCAAATAAAAGTACGACACTATTTTAATTAAATAAAAATATGACACTTTTTTTATCAAACAAAAAAATAAAACTATTTTCTTTAAATAAAAATGACACTTCAAGTGTCATTTCTAAGACTTCAAGTTGAACAGTTAAAAATGTGTAATTTAAGAAACTCAAAGAAGAAATCTAGAATAAATCTTAATAAAACCTGTGACTAAACCTGCAGCAGTAAATATAAATCAGTAATATAGTAAATATATATCAGGAAACTATAAATTTAAGGATAGACAAAAAGGTTATAGTGTGTTCTCAACCTGATTCTGATTTTTTCCCCCAACTTTGTTCAGATATTCTTGTCACTTTTTTTACCTTACATTTCTTTCTTATATTTTTTATTTTATTAGATATTAATTTAAAGGAAAATATCTTATATGCTTATAACAACTCAATCATTATTTTGGAGTGCGACTATAACATCTCATGCTAAAAGTGTAATGATAATGGAAGACAACAAGTATGATTTAAAAATTGATTGCTATGCATTTAAAGATATTTAAGACAACTGTTTTTAACATCATTCAGACTATTGAGTCAACATATGACATCAATCCAAGAAAATCCTGTGAAAGACTGAGAATTAATACTTTAAAAACCAACAACTTGATTGGACTGTTGAAATGAGGAAACGTGTCATATTTTCAGACAAAGTGTAAGATAAGCAGTGTGCAGCATAGAGAGTCTATGTTTGACGGCTATCAAACTCACACTTTAATACTTAATAAATTGTCCCTTCTGTTAAGCAATGTATGACAATTATGATTTGAGATGCAATCACTGTCAACAGTTGTGCTGTTTACACCCTTTAAAACAAGATGAGAGTGTTAATTCCGCAATTTACTTGGAAAATTTGAAAAACAAGGTGTTTTATTGATTTCAAATTAAAAAGTTTGATATTTCCATAATGAGGCAAATTGCCATTAGGAAAAAATTGCCAAGACATGGCTCCAAGAAAATGGAATTATTATTCTGGCCCTTTTGTGCAATTCAACCATTTTAAACCCAGTGGTGTACACTGGATGTTTAGATGCTTGAGTTTTGACACTTACAGGCATTGTGCAAACTCCAAACTTTTGTATGTTCATGCTTTATGTCAAATGAGAATGTTTTGCAAAGAGTTGCGGTGATTAGCTTGGGGACAAGAAAACCCCAATTTTTGGGCCCACCCAACCCTTAATGTAGGAGCAAAAAGTTTATAAAATAATTTCTTTAGTATTTTTATCTAAGTTTATATTCATCAAATTTCGTGCAATAATCTCTTATTTTTTGAAAATTATGACCATATAAAGTTTTAACCCCCCTCGATTTGAGGGGGCTGTAAACTTTGTAGGGTCATAAAAACTAAACACAAAGAGGTTATTGCATAAAATTTGAAATTTGTTGATGAATATAAACTTAGATAAAAATACTAAAGAAATTGTTTTATAAACTTGTTGCTCCCACTTTAAGGGCTGGGTGGGCCCCAAAATTGAAGGTTTTTTGTCCCCAAGCTCCAATCACCGCAACTCTTTACAAAACATTTTCATTTGACATAAGCATGAACATAAAAAAGTTTGGAATTTGCACAATGCCTGTAAGTGTCAAAACTTAAACATCTAAAAATATAGTGTACACCACTGAAACCTCATCAAAACTATGATTAAATTGAAAGCAGAAGTTTTTTAACAGAACCCAAACTCACTTTTTAATCTGAGAAAAGCTAAAATGAAAGTGTGGTGTCATAAAATAATGCCTGAATATTAAATCTTTTGTTGCCTCATTACAGCAATGAATAGACACTTTTATAAAAGTTGGAGGAGCCCATACAAAGTACTAACACATGTTTTATACTGTGGCTTCTGTATTCTTTAATTCATGCATTTTTTTTTTTTTAAATTAAAATGTTTTATAGTAATAAATACGTATATTATACAGTACAAAAATGCTTTTTTGCTATAAATATTGGGTGGTCAGATCTTTATGTCCATATAACTTAAAAAACACAGCATATAACTGCATATAACAAAATAACCATCTAGTAATAAAAAAAATGCAATTATAAAACATTATAAAACTACAAATAATATAAATTGATAATCAAATACCATTTAATAATCATATACAATTTGATGATCATACTTATATATAATAGCTTGTTTTTGCTATTTTTTAGAGTTATCTAAAGTTGTACAGACCTGTAGAAATGATACAACTCAAAAAGCACCATCAATTTCTTATTTTTTTCTTGAACATGTTCCATCAAAGTATACCATGATGAATTTAATTTCTTAAAATATTAATTTTAAAAATATCAAAAACTATATAATAACAAAAAACTTAAATGTCTTTTATAAAAATATTTTAGTATTAAAAACTCACTTCACATTTTGCTATTATTTCTTGTGTATCAGGATGTTTCTCTTCACAAAGCTTCTTGCAAATTTCATTTACTTCTGTAATGCGTACTTCATTACCCAACAAATCCTTAGTACAAAAGTTTAAATTTAAATGGCTAGCTTTACATCATTCAGCATTAACCATGCAAGATAAAAAAAAATTAGGAGATATGGCTAAGTCAAGAGATGTTGAGTAAAGTATCAAGAGAAAGGCAAGATTGGTCCTACATGATTTGTGGGAGCTTGTATTAAATTTATGACTTATTAATCCTTATTAATAATCCTTGAAGAACCTTTGGCAAAAAATATTTAACTAAAGTTTAATGCTTGGTCATAGAATTATTTAAAAGTAAAATTATGGTTAAACAAATAAAATACTTCAAATATTATGTTTTATTAAACATAATTATTTATTTTCATTATAATTATTGCACCAAGATTTATTTTAACTTTTTCATCACATAAAATTGCAATGCTTCTTACTACCACCATTTAATGCACAATAAAATCTTACAGTTAGAACAGTTAACAAGTCAGCCATAGAAAAAAGGATTGATAACCATATTGATTGTCAGAGAGTAAGTTATTGGTCTCAAGATATCAGAGAGTAAGTTATTGGTCTCAAGAAAATTATTGATTAAAGACTCAAAGGCTAATAGTAAAAGTTTTTCAGTAAAAGTACTGATCCGACCATAGTTAGAAGGATTAGTAGTTCTCCAGAGTTTTTAAAAATTGGAACCATAGATACCATTTTTCAGAAGGCAGGAAAACAAGATTCAATCAAGCACTTTTTAAAGTGATCTCTAAGTACCTAGACAAGTTGTGTTCATATCATAAATAATTCTGTAAAAAAATTTTCATGTTAACTAAACTTTCCAGAACAAATTATTTATCAAGATGTTAGCAAATAATTTTTTACATCATTTTTTTTTTCTTAAAGGTAAGTTTCAGCTTTTTTTTTTTTTCTAAAGAAAATACTGATTAATGTGCTTTTGTAGTTAATAAAAAAATATCAACAACAATAAAAGTCCTTTCAAATAACTTAAACTTGAGTTATAAAAATTGTGTTAGGGTTTTTCCTTTTGCAATTCATTTTTATGTAGAAGAATGAATATAGGACTTACAGGTAGAATAGCACCCTGTAAGAGGTTTAGACAGAACAAAAACAAAGTAAAATATAAGTGAGCTAACACAGTAACTAAGACTAACTACACAACAGACAAAATATATACTACAATAGACATGACAGATGTTCCAAAGTATAACAGGAAAAACACTTTGCTTAGAAACCAAATCCTAGAAGGCAACAGAATACGGAACAGATTGCACTGGATGACATTTTAACAGTAGCAGGACAATCAAGATGACAATACGCTTGACCTGACACTAAGAATTTTTTTACAGAGTTTCATCATTACAATGTTATAAATTTTTTTTTTTCATTTAAATAGCAACAAGTAACATAATATGTAAAAAACTTTCTTTCAAAATAATAATCACTAAAAAATAGATAATATTTCAATAGATAGTAAATATAAAAACTGGTAAATATAACAACCAAATTTAACTAGTAAATTTTACTAATAGAACTAGTAAATATAACAAACAAATTTAAGTTTTAATGGCTAGACTACCTAAACCAAATTTATTTTAATTACTAAAAAAATTTATTATAGATCCAATTTTTTAATTGTTATTGACTTTTTTGGTAAAAATTTTTTTATGTAAAATTAAAGATGTTTAAATGGCAACTATTATTTTTTTCTTCTTGAAGATGATTTTGATTTGATTTATACAATTTATTGTTTAAATTATTACAATTTGGTTGAAAGTATTTATAAATAAAAACAAACTAAAAAAATATTATCATAATTTAAACTGAACTTAAAAATTTTGAACTAAAAGATATAATAATACTAAATAATAAATATTAGAAATTATAATTTAATGAATAGCTGAGCAATTTTTAAACAATAAATAATAACAAAAGAGAAAAATTAGAAACCACTCAAATTGGTTTTAAAATATAATAGGCAAATTGAGCTAAAACAAAAAAGCTTACTTTATGAAAAGCATCAAAGTTCTTTTGTAACGATTGGACATGCTCTAAATCCCTAATAGGTTCTTCTTCTGCAACAATAGATTCCTAAAATAAATTTAAAAATAAAACAATTAAAAATAAATAATCTCTATACACAATAATAAGTGTAGCAACTATACTAGTTTTCACATTTTTAAAACTTAATGAAACTAGTTAAGAGTTAATGATTTGGTTAAACAAGTTAACATATTTGGTTAAAAGAGATAATGTATTTGGTTAAGAGAGATAATATATTTGGTTAATCTATAAACAAGCTTGCACTAAACCTTAGTCACAATAAACCCAGTTTTTTTGAAATTGTTTGACTGTTTATAGGTTTTTAATTGTTTTAAGATAAGTTTACTTAATTATGTTGTTCCTCTATTACTTTGTTTCTATTCTACTACATATGAATATAAATATTCATACTTTACATGACCTTTTATATGATGATTTGGTTACAATTTAGTTTTCATTTGATCAGCTCTTATAACATAACTCTTTAATTATTGTAGGTAATCCAAAGTTAACTTATGATAGCGAAGTATAAGCTTTTTATTGGTATTTAAATAAATATAAGTAAAAAATTATTACTTTTCCAATAATCCAGTACAACAACTCATCGATTTGAAGCAAAATGTTAACCCTTGACTGTGTGCAAAGAAGCATATAAGATTTCTCTTGAGATTGTTGAAGCAGTAATGACCAAAGTAACTTTAACTCATCAATACGCTTCTATGAGAAGAAAAAAAAATGTTATAGTTTTAATACAAAATTTAGTAAAAAATTAAAAAATATGAATAAAACAATTTCAACTGTCCATTAAACAATTTAAATATCCATTAAAAAATATTTAATTTACACAATTTTTTAGTTTAATCTTACTTAAATTTAATTACAACAGAATAAATAAATTTAAATTGTGGGTGCACAAACTAAATTTATTTATTCTGTTGTAATTATATATGAATCAGTAAATTTTAAAAGGGCAGATGTTCAAATATGTAAACTTTCAGAAAACTAAAAAAAACCTCCATTTTCCGTAGTAGTAAATTTTTGTTAATAGTTTAATAATTTTTTTTCTGAAGAAGAGGATAATGTTTTTCACCTTCAAAAAAATTATTATTGAACCATTAACAAAAATTTACTACTAATATATATATATATATATATATATATATATATATATATATATATATATATCGTTATCGCAATAGTTTAGACTTTCTTATATTTATGAACGGTAATATATTTGATGAGTCATCTACCCTTCATCTTCTAGAATTAACTCTTACTTCTGATCTTTCTTGGAAACCTTATATCAAATCCGTTGCAAAATGAGCATCTGCTAAAGTTGCATCTCTTTATCGAGCTCGACACTTTCTTACTCTGGATTCTATACTCCATCTCTATAAATCTCAAATCCGGCCTTGTATGGAATACTGTTAACATATCTGGGGCGGATCTTCTAATGATGCCCTTTCTCTTTTAGACAAGGTGCAAAAATGAATTGCAAACATAGTTGGACCTGCTCTTGCAGCCAACCTTCAACCTTTGTCACATCACCATAATGTTGCTTCTCTTTCTCTTTTCTACAAATACTATAATGGGCAATGCTCTAAAGAGCTAACATCTCTTGTGCCATCTACTAAAATTCATTCTCGTGTTACTCGTCATTAAAAAAAGTCTCAACCTTTTTCTGTTACTGTTCCTATGTGCTCCAAAAACTCTTATTCGTCTAGTTTTTTTCCTCAAACATCAGTTCTTTGGAATTCGCTTCCTTCATCTTGCTTTCCTGATTCATATAATTTGCAACCTTTTAAGTCGTCTGTCAATCATTATCTTGCTCTAAAATTTTTATTTTTTCTCTTCCAGAAACTTCCAATACAAGGTTGCTTGCAGCCTTGTTGTAAGCGAAGATGTTAAAATAAATAAATAAATAATAAATATATATTATATATATATATATATATATATATATATATATATATATATATATATATACATGTATATATATACATGTATATATATACATGTATATATATATATATATATATATATATATATATATATATATATATATATATATACATGTATATATATACATGTATATATATATATATATATATATATATATATATATATATATATATATATATATATATATATATATATATATATATAATATATATATATATACATAGTGCTCGAAGTGGGAAAAAAAAGGTAGAGGAATTTTAATGTTTTTTTTTAAATGTTTTCTTCTTACCATTTCGCTTGTATTAACGAGTCATGCAATACAAGTTTTACTTTCACGCAGAACAAGTTTTCCTAAAAACGTGTACTGCAAACATTTATAATCTCTTGTTTCCTCAAATAAGGGATTATAAATGCCTATAGTAAAAATAATACCCAGGTGTGTGGTGGGGACGGGGCAACAATTATATTCTTAAGAGAATATCACCGCTAAATAAAAAGTCAAATTGAAAATCAAGAGTTACAATGGTAAGAATAAACAATTAATGTAAACTATATTTATGTACCATTATTGAAATTAGCATCACAATGTCCTTTTCTAAACCACTTTGTTACATCCTTTGAATCAAAATTAATAACTGGTGGACCTACTAGTGAAGTAAACATTAAACTCGAACATGGTTTATTATTATCAAAGAGCTTTGCAAAGAAGACAATATTATATTCATAGTAGAAAAAGAACACTCATATTCAACTGTAGAAACAATCAAGCTATTTATAGCATTGCTCAGAGGCTGAAGATCATTAGGAATTTTTTTACACTCACTAGTGGCAAAATACGCACAAAATCCTTGGACTGCTGCACTTTCACAAATATTGAAAGTTTTTGCTAATTATCTAAATGTCACTGTCTGCAAAGCATGGATCTTGTTCTGCAAAATATTGTGGTTTATCAATAAAAGATTAAATTTTTAATCAAACAATCGTATTTTTCTTTGTTTGGATCATTTTCTTTAACTTGTAGTAATTTAGGTGTAGCTCTAGTTAATAAACCTAAGTTCCTTGGGTAAAGACATTTTTTTATCTTGTAACTATATAGAAAGATGTTGTAGTTCTATTAAAGCATCTAGCATTAGCCCCATGTTTAGTACAAAATTGATGTCATACAATTTTTTTAAAAGCCTGCGTATTGGGCTCTACCTCCTCCATTACGTTTTAGACCGGTAAAATATTTTGCACAACGCCATTCACTGCTAACTCTAGACAATGATTACTACAATACCATAAAATTAAATTGGGAAACTGATTCAAAATTAAACTAATTACCTAATTAAAAATTATGGTTAAAACCTAGTCAATATAAAAATAAAATTGTTTGCTTTAGAAGAGACCACTGTGTTTTCAATAAATTTAAAAAATATACTATTAACGATATTTATTTCTGGAGTGTTTACTCGAAAGCAGATTGAAAGAGAAAATTTTTTGCAAACTATTTAGATTTATCATAAATCTGATTTTACTATCGCTATAAAAGGGGCCATCCATAAAGGACATCACCTTAAGTTTAACTAATGACAAGAAGTCAGAGAATGTTGGCTCTTGTGTGCAGAGACTTTAAGAGTAACATAGCGCCTTATGTTCTATGAAAATCTCTGCAAAAGAAAGTCAATAAACTTCTACTTCTGGTTAGTAATTAAATTCTGAATGACGTCCTTTATGAACAACCCCTAATATGTAGTTTACAAGCTTTGTACGCATTTCATTAGAAATATGATAGACAATATCAGCACAAGCATGATCCAATTGTAAAATATGACTCATATCTAAACCATTGAAATGGTTTAGACATGGGTTGTAATTTACATGAAATCAGAAAATGGACAATTAATTTTTGTAATGTGATACACAGTGCAAAATATGCAGTAGGTAGTTTTGTGCTGATGGATCTGCATTTTCGAACAACACATTTCTATGGTTTGATTTATGGACTGAGAAAAAAATTTACAAACTTTTTCGTGTGCAGCTGATAGTTTATAACATGAAAGCTTTTTTTTCATTGATTAATTTTTTCTTCTTTTGTTTCACCATAAGCTTTGACGTTACTAAGCGCCCACATGCAAGCCATATTAATCTTTGAGTATTTTTGGCACCTAAATAATTTGCGGACTTAAAAACAGAACAGCCAAGACTATTTATTGAAACTGTCAAACAGTCAAATGTCTTTCATTTTTCCTTTCATTTTTCATTCCATTCTTTATCAAACCAGTAATCTGGAAAAAAAGAACCATCGCTGCCTAATTTTCATTTCATTCTGCATGCTAGCCATTTATCCATCTTTGCAACTAGCAATAAATAATTTATTTTTAAATGCATAAAAAATACTTATTTTTGTTTTTCTTGAAAATTTTTACCCGAAATAAAAATACTCTAAAATTTAAAAACATCGGACTACTGCTTATCATAGTGGATGGTTCTAAAATTACTTTTAGAACCATTGCTGCTTAATTTTCATTTCATTCCGCATGCTAGCCATTTATCCATCTTTGCAACTAGCAATAAATAATTTTTTTTTAAATGTATTAAAAATATTTATTTTTGTTTTTCATGAAAATTTTCACCCGAAATAAAAATACCCTAACATTTAAAAATATCGGACTACTGCTTATCATAGCGGATGACTGAAATAAGAAGTACAAATATTTCACTCATCTGCAGGGTTACCTGGAAAGGACAAAAAGTTTCACCTCTGCCTGTATTACCAGCAGGGAGGCCCAGTCTAAAAAATGACTTTAAATTTAAAAGGACAAAATAATTATTTCTTCCTGGTTTATGGCATCCAACAGCTCCGAAAATGTAAAGAGGATTATGAAGTACTTTTTAGAAAAAAAAGGTTAGAGAAACAAATTTTGATCTATGTATAATGGCAGCAAGATCTTCAGGACTCCAGTACTCTGGGTTAAAAAACAATAGCTTTCAAGACATAAAATCTCATAAATTTTTTCCTTGTTGCAGATCATAAGTCACTCAACTCTTTTGGAGCTCCTGAACATTAGAGACTAAGAAAAAATTCAAAATCTCTTTGGGACTCTGCATTCCTGATTGTCGGACAACCTATTATTACACCACCAGAAGAATATACTATAGAGGTATTTTTTATATAATTGAATTTACACATTTATGTACACTTAAGTAAAAAATTACCCTTTAAAAGTGGGCCTCTTAACAAAAGTTTATGACTGCCCTCAAAATTGCATAAAAATAATAAAACGATTTTAAATATCATATCAAAACTTTGAAAACTTACAATAACATAATCGGATGCATAGTGATTTTCATTAACCATAATCATTCCTTTGCTTTCTATCGTCTCTATCATAAACAAATGTGCTTTTACTTCAGCTTCAAATGTTGTATGCTTTTGTAATTTAACCTAAGTAAAATATTTGTGAATTATATATATATATATATATATATATATATATATATATATATATATATATATATATATATATATATATATATATATATATATAAATATATATATATATATATATATATATATATATATATATATCGGCATCAGGTTGGAAAAAAAATTTGATACAAGTCTTACCATAAAATATAGAAATGAGGTCGGCAACTTTTTGTCAGCCTGAAACACTTTTAGGTCAGTACTTAGGTCGATCCTAATTCCGAGGGCTATATATATATATATATATATATATATATATATATATATATATATATATATATATATATATATATATATATATATATATTTGATTGACAGACGACTAATAAGATTGCAAGTTATATGAATCAGGAAAACAAGATGAAGGAAGCGAATTCTAAAGAACTGATGTTCGAGGAAAAAAACTAAACAAATAAGAGTTTTTGGAGCACTTAGGAACAGCCACAGAAAAATGTTGAGACTTAATTAAATGACGAGTAACACGAGAATGAATTTTAGTAAATGGCACGAGAAATGCTAGCTCTTTAGAGCAGTGCCCATTATAGTATTTGTAGAAAAAAGAAAAAGAAACAACATTAGGACGATGTGATGATGGTTGAAGGTTGGCTGCAAGAGCAGTTCCAACTATGTTTACAAAGCGTTTTTGCACCTTGTCTAAAAGAGAAAGGGCATCATTAAAAGATCCACCCTAGATATGGCAACAACATCTTAAATCCGTCCTTGTACTCCATACAAGGACAGATTTGAGATTTATAGAGAAAAAGAATAGAACCTGGAGTAAGAAAGTGTTGAGCACATGCAGATGCTAATTTTGCCATGGATTTGATATACGGTTTCCAAAAAAGATCAGAAGTTGAGGAACCCTAAAGTTACAGGATTTGAAGAAGAGTGCTGTTTATTGAGGACAACTTTTACACTACAATTGGAAAGAAAGGATTCAATAATTTTTAAGATGTTACCAGATACACTGAGACTTGACCTGGAATAGTCAAGAGGGAATAAAAGATTACATGCCAGCCTGAATCCAAGAGGTTATATATAGTGCATGTGATGAATAAAATCACCCAGCGTGATATTTCACGCTTGTAATACTGAAATACGCTATCAACGAGCACAATTATGCGCGCTCATCAACAAGTATTCAAGGACGATATTCAGAGTTGGAAATTGGTTGCTATGGGGCCATCCATAAATTGCATACACAAGTATGGGGAGGGGGTCACTCAAAAACATACTAGTTTGTACAAGGGTTAACGATTTTGTGTTTGAATTTTTTTCATTTGAAGTCCGGGAAATTAGACAAAAAAGCTTTGGTTTTTTAGTTAATGCATTTGTCTATCTACCAGAAAAAATATTACTGCAGCTTTGATATTAAATAAAACAATGAAATATCACCATTTACTAAAAGATTACTACATAACTTTGTTTCCATTTGGGAGTTAAATTAACATGCTTAAATAAGGACATTATAAACAACACAAATGTTTTTAATTTAATTTAAAATAAGTAATAGTTGAAGGAAAAAAAAAAAAAAAAGATTAAGAATATTTCTTTTATTTACAAAAGATGTGTGAAAAATTAAAAGCAATAAAGCAAAAGAACCTTACGTATTTACAAAATCTTGTGGATTTAAACTTTTGATTTTTCAAAACTCAATTAAGTTATTTTTTTTTTAATTTAAATTTTCAATTATCATTATGAGGAAACATTTTGAAAATAGTAAACATTCCATTCTATCAGTTAGCGAAATGAAGTTTTAGTTTGATAAACTTTTTACACTAGATATTTATTTATATTTTGCTAGATATTTATAATGATATTTTATTTTTTAACATTCAAGTTTGGAATTTTCATTGAAGTGTTGCAAGTTTTGATATTTATTACATGGGCTTAAATTAAAATTATTTATATTATCATTTTTTTATTTGTTTATATATTATTTTTTTGATTGATATAAAAACACAAGAATAAATAAAAAACATTTATATAATTATTTTTATTTAGACATTAAAAAAAAGAAAAAAAGATTTAACTGCTATTCTCCTCATATAAAAAAAATCAGAAACTCGTCAAACCAATGTGATGAGTTATTCAACCTTAACATAATTGCAAAATTAATTAAAATAATTTTGTATTAGAGTTTTAGTTTTTCAGATATATATTAGTTGATTTTTTTTTAAAACTATAGTTTCTAGTTTTTAAGACATATTTGTAGAAGTTAAGAGTGGAGGAAAGATTGGTTATTCAATGGTCAAACAAGCTCCTCTGGAATCAATCCACCCAAAAAAACGAATCCGACTATCTAAAACTCAATCCCAAGCCAGCTCTTCTCAATTGCATCCCACACAAACACATAAAACTGTATCAGATTCTTCGGATTCTGAAACTTCTGTTTTCTCACCCGATTCGCAAACCTCTTCTTCTACGTCATCTCCTGAATGCAAACCGAAATACCAAATAGCCAGCACTACAGCACCTGGTTTACTAGTATTGAAAAACAACATTGCTACACAAAAAGCACATGACGTTCTCGCAACTATTGCTAAACAAGGCCACGATGTGCCGGTTCCAAGTCAGGTGGGTGTCTGGAAAAGAGTAATCTCTGAAGGACAGAAAACGAAAACCAAAATTGCTCAAAAACTTAAGGGCAAAGATCCATATTGTCTCCAGTTTGATGGTAAAAGAGTGCATGGGAAAGAATACCAAGTAGTTATGCTAAAAAATATGACTACCGAAATCAAACTCGGTATTCTTAAATGTGAGAGTGGTTCTGCTGCGGCCATTCACAAGGAACTACATCAACTAATTGATGAATACAATGCTTGGGAAAATATTTGCATGATTATCTGTGACACGACTGCAGTAAATACTGGTCGTCTGCATTGGATTGTAAAGCTAATACAAGATGATGTTTACGGCAAGGGCTTTCAGAAACCACAATATATTGGCTGTCAGCACCATGTTCTCGACCTCCTTCTAAAACATGTCATAAATTTTTTTTTATTCAAGAGCCCATGAGCAAACCAGAACTCAATTATTCCTTCATTGATAAATTAACAGAGAATTATGTTTCTCTTCAGGATGATTACCGCCTATATGCGACAGATGATGTTAACACAGGCAAAAATCCTGCATGGCGAGATGATTTCAAGTTCTTATATGAACTATGTCAAGCATATCGTCATTACAAAACAACTTCACGCTGGCCTCGAATAAACTAGAATAAACTGGAATAAACTCCCAAATGTACACCAAGCAAGATGGAACTTATGTGCAATATATGCTGTTATAGCATTATTCCTGATGCCAGAGTGGCGCACCACCCTCGTTCCAGCATGCAACTTCATCTGCTACGAATAGGCAAATGCTTGGTTCCATTCGCATGAAGCATCCTTCAATGAACTATTAACCTCACTCATCAAGATAAAATGCAAGAAAGCAATTAAGTGTTTAAAGACACATTGGTCAATCGAAGAGTTGTTCCTTTGATTCCTTTGAGTCATTCCTTTGATTCATTGATATTCCCAGATCTAACCAAATTGCTGAACGTGCAGTAAAACTGATGGAGGAACTTCATGAAGAACCAAGAAAAAAGAGTCTTTGAATTTGAAGTTCCTTGGAAAAAATAACTTTCAAACATTTCATGTATATTTTGTACATATTACTAATGTTCTCCATCTTATTTGTTCATAAAAGTTGCTTAGATAAGCTATTACTTTTATTATTTTGGATAAAGCTAAAAAACATGTCCTTTTTTAAAAAAAAACATTTTTTTATTTTTCTTTTCCTGTATGAGTGGGGGAACTTTTTAAAAAAACATTAAAAATGCAATTTATATTCTTGAATTACACATAAGGTTTCCTCGATTGCAAGAGGTTTCATAATTTTTTTTTTTTGTTATAACCCTAATATATATATATATATATATTTATATATATATATATATATATATATATATATATATATATATATATATATATATATATATATATATATCTACTATAGCATATTTATATGCGCAATTGCTCACTTTTTTTGCTTGCCTAATTTAAGTGAGCGTTTTTAGAAAACGATGAGGGAAAACGAAGAATAATGAATGAAAAGGTTGCTGACCCATACCAAACCCTCAGTCGATGTAGCAGCACTCCACGGCGAGTCAGGCTATTTGTCAGTCGATATATATATATATATATATATATATATATATATATATATATATATATATATATATATATATATATGTGTGTGTGTATATATATATATATATATATATATATATATATAGTATTGTGTACTAAGGTAAGCAATCTGACGTCATACTGAAATAGCCTGCTGCTGGAAGCTTCAGTACATACATCGACTGACAAATAGCCTGACTCGCAGTGGAGTGCTGCTACATCGACTGAGGGTTTTGGATGGGGAAGCAATAGTTTTATTCATCATTCTTCGTTTTTTTTTCTTCTTTTTCGAAAAAAATGGTATAGCTTAAGGTAAGCAGAAAAAGTGAGCCAATGCTTATCAAAACACGCTTTAGTAGGTGTGTGTGTATGTATATATATATATATATATATATATATATATATATATATATATATATATATATATATATATATATATATATATATATATATATATATATATATATAGGGTAACAGGGCGTATTAAGCTCCATGAGGTATTAAGCCTTATTTTCTCTGTTTATATAATGAAATGGCTAGTATTATTGTATTAAGGTAGAGGGGCATTAAGTTCTACATGATGGAGACTAACTAACCAATAAGGGAAGTTTTCATAACCATTCTGGGGTTTCTAACCAATGGCATTGGTTTTTAATTAGATATAATTAATGAGTGGTTTTTCCATCTAGTTTCCAGTTTCCTTCAAACTTAATGAAAAAACTTTAATAAAAGCCAGTGCTTGTTTGTTTTGATTTTAAAATTTATTTCTACATTAAAAATTATATATTTTCCATACAAATACAAGTACATATAAACTAAGTAAGTACTTTTTTTAAGTTTTAAACTATCTTTGTATGTTATCAATGAATTAAAATACTGATATTCGTAGAGCAAACAAAGGTAAAAATTTTAGCAAAGAAAAATGGCAGTTGGATGAATGTCTAAGAGATTGTTTATAAATAGCTCTGAAATTCACTTTAATACTAAATTTCTATTTAAGATTTTAAATGGATAGCATTTCTGAGATAAATATAGTTCTAATGAATATTAATTAATTTAATTAGTTTAGTAAAATAAATGCTTTAATTAGCAGAGGCTTAATGCCCCCTGTTAATGCCAACTGTTTAAAAAGGTGATCAAAACAATCAAAAACATTGATCAGATACATAAAATTTATGTTTTAATTTTATAAAATTACACAGATATAGTTCAAATTAAAAAGAAAAATTATTTATTTATAATAACTTATTTTTTCAATTTAAACCTTATGTGTAACTTTATAATAATTATTATAAATTTTTCTTTAGGTATAGTTTTGATAATAGAGCTTATCATTCCTTTTATTTAGCAGAATGGTTGGGGCTACATAAAAAATGAGAAAGGAGGCAGGAAAGTCTATGCAACTAGTCAAACAATGATAAATGTCTACAATTCTGTCATATGTAAGCAAATGTCAGCTACCCAGAAATCCAAGCACTATTAAAAGTACTTTCCAGCACTAATGCTCACAATGCTTCTTTGTCTCGACATCAATATGTGTATTGCTGTCAACAGCATAGTCATCTGCAGCATTATCAACTGCAGCCCAGATTTCCACAAATTTCTGGGGATGGTTGGTTGGTTAGAACCATCAGGTTTTGATATGGAGAAAGCCTAACAGGTGATAAATGTTTGAAGCGGCTGAGATAAGCAGTAAAGAAAAATGCTACAAGAAAAAAGACCACAACTAAAAGAAGAAATCTTCCAGCTTGAGATGATAGGGACGGTTATGAAGATGACGACACTATGTCTAAAGTGTGATATTTTAAAAAGTCAAAGATAAAAATAGGTGTGCTGTGACTTATGTGATGTTTTGTACCATGTTAAATTGCACAGAAATTCCAAATGGAGCTAATAGTAAAGCCATGAGCTAGATCTGTGATAAGTGTCTAAAAATGATGTAAAAATATATATTTTACATAGTGGAGTTTATCTGATAATCCTGCACTTAAAAAGACAAATTTAAAAAAATTTGAAATAAATATTTTTTATTAACTAATGCTAACTTGTTTCAGTTTAAAAATATTTGAAATATTAAAATTGATTTTTTTTTTCAGAAAAGTAAAATCCATTTCCGCTTCGCGACGCATAGTGTGGCGTTAGTGGTAATTTTTTAGCTTTTTTCCACTACATAACTTAAAGTTTTGCTGTATAAAGATTTTGTACAAATAGAAATATGTGTTGTATATAACAAAAAAATATTTCCAGTTTGAGTTTGATATTTATTTACTTATTTCAAAGAGAGAAAAGAAAAGTACTTGAAAAAATGGGGCTTAATACCCCCTGTTACTCTCTCTCTCTAATACCCCCTGTTACTCTCTCTGCAGTAGCGCCTATATTGTTATATAACAATAACAATATAGGCGCTACTGCAGTTTCTCCCCCCCCCCCTATTTTTTATTGTTGATTATGATAGAGAATTTTATGCTGATTAAGAATCATATAAAAACATAGGTCTGAAAATCAACAGAAAGTGCTCTAATTTGATGTTGAAGTTTGTAAAATTACACTAAAAAAAGCTAATATTCGCCATTTTTTAAATATGTTTGACATCAAAGTTTATATTTTAAAATCGTTAAGAAAATTTTTTTTTAATTACGCGACCGGGTTTTTATTGTCAAAGTTAATTTATAATTGAATTAAATGTTTTTATGAATGTATTTTATATAACTTTAACTATTTTTTTTTAAATAAATTTAAATATTGCTTATTAAATGTACATAAACCGACTGAAAAATAGGGATTGGCGCAATTAAATGTACACTCATCGACTGAAAAATAGGGATTGGGCAATTGAATGTAAATACATCGACTGACAAATAGGGATTGGCACGATTAAACGTACATGATTTGGGACAGGGTTTGGGTTTGGGCAAGGGATAAATCAGAAAATGATGCGCTGAGCATTTTTTAACAGTTTTGCATTAAAGTGTTGATAGAAACCAGGCTTTTTTAAAATCATCTCTGAAAAGAATTTTAATATAACCGAGAATGAAAAAAAATGGCGAATATTAGCATTTTTTAGTGTAATTTTTTAAACTTCAAGATCAAATTAGAGCATTTTCTGTTGATTTTCAGACCTATGTTTTTATATGATTCTTAATCAGCATAAAATTCTCTATCATAATCAACAATAAAAATAGGGGGGGGGGAGAAACTGCAGTAGCGCCAACAATATATATATTCTGAAATAAAAGTTTACATTTTATGGTTGTTTACTAATAGTACGACTAGTAATCTAAGGTAAACACCAATTAAATAATAATAGCAATCATGTAATATATATATATATATATATATATATATATATATATATATATATATATATATATATATATATATATATATATATATATATATATATATATATATATATATATATATATATAAAATGCTATTTCTATATTTCTTAAGATTGTATATTAGATATGTTATGTAGTCACAACATGTTAACTTTATTACAAACCTGTAAATTTATTGGCTCTTTAAAACTTTGATCTGAAGCAATTTTCATTTTCTCTTCAATCCAAACTTCTACTTCGTCGCTATCTCTTTTAAATTGACAAAGAAGTTTTGCATCTTCTAATCGTTTTCTACGTTCTTTTGTAGCTTGTTTAAAGTCACCATATCTTCGAAGAACCTGTTCTCGACGTTTTTGAATATCTTCAACAGTTTCAAGAAGTTTTATTTCACGTTTTGGACCTTGTTCAGGAAACTCAGTCCCATTTCCAACAATTTCAGTAGTCATTTTAATGTGACTAATTTTTTTAAATTGAGTCTTAATTACTCGTTTCAAATAATTTTTTTTTTTTTTTCGCTTAACTAAGTTATTAACAACTTTAACGCCTTAAACTAAAAAAACGGCAGAAAAGCTTTGTTTTCATTTGCACTCCTCTCCTTTAACATTATCATATAAATTTATTCACATATGGTTTTTTCCATTATAATTTTACTCAAGTGACGTATCTAATATTTTGATTTGATTTCATAAAATTTTAAAACGCGCGAAATTTAAGGATAATTTCTCATAAAAAACAGTACCCCAGAAATATTAAACATAAAAAAAATTTTAAGGGTTAAATTTTTTACTTAGTAAAGTATAGTATTTTCTATTTACTTAACGATTTTTTTTTTTTAATTCTTACGTGAATTTTTAAAATACGTTATAAAATATACATATAAGTTACAAATTATAAAATTGCCAATAAAAATGGTTATTAAATCTATTGTTTTCGTACAAACCGCATGAAAATATTATGAATTAAACTTGTCACAATAATTTTTAGATTACACGCGGACATTGTAGTCCACTACGTTTTAAATCGTCTACATAAAATAATATTAAATTTTTACCCAATTATTATTCATTAACAAGAAATTTTCAACTAAAATAACTTTAATTTAACCTTAGTAAAAGGGGTTTTTTATTATTATTATTATTAATATTATGTTATTTTATACATATTATGTTGTTTTTTAATATCTAATATAACATATATGTTTATTATAACATATATTAAAATTTTTTTTATATGTTATATTAGATACTTAAAAATCGAATAATAAAGTAAATAAGTAATTTTTTATTTAAGATTTATTATAGTAAAAAGAATTCAACATTATGATCTAGTCCTCGTTAGTTCTTCAATAGTATCAAAAAAGAAAAAAAATTACCAATCTGGAAATATTTAAACATCTTAAATATTCATAATTTATTTAAAAGTTAAGTGTATAAATACTATTAAACGTATTAATAGTTTTAATAATCTAATAATAAATCAATAATGATAAGAATATTTAAAAAAATGAGAAAAATAAATTATTATAAAAAATATTGATTTATATAATAGATTTTTTAGGTAGTAACTCTAAATTGTGTTCCATTATTAAAAAATAACTCATGATTTTTCTTAATATATTTTTATCCATTTGTATTTTATTTTTTTAACTGAAAGTTTTGTATAGTTTTTATCTATAATGTAATAAATTATATTTTTATTAATTTATAAACAATGTTGTAAACAATGTATATAAAGAAATATAAATATAATATAATAATTACAAGAATATTTGTGATATTTTTGTCTTTTCCAATTTTAAAAACAAATGGATTTTTTATTATTGTTTTTTATAAGAAAATTTTAAAAGTGATTTTGTATACAACTTTTTGTTTACGAGGCAAATATTTTTAAAAGAGTAAGATAAATTTTCTTATTTAAATATAAATAAGTTCAATAAATAAAAACTTGAATTAAATTAGAATATATTTAAATTATTCAGAAAAGAATTCTTTAGATAGGGTTTTTAAAGGTTCACATTTTGCAAAGGGTTTTTAAAGGTTCACAAATAAAACTTCACAGTTTGTGAAGTGTTGAAATAAAGCAAAGTGAACATAAATCAATTTTTAAAAAGAAAATGTAACAATATTAAAATAAATCCTCTATATTTTTAAGGAGAAGAGGGATTATATAATACAGTTTCAAGAAAAAAAGATGTCTTTGAGATATTATAGGATAGTAAGATTAGTTTAAGCTTTCCTGAAAACATTTCCCAAAATTATACAAAAAACAAAATTTTACAAAGATATGTATCTTTGTTTTCTCTCAGAAAAATAGTATAACGTAAAGCTAACAAATAATAATTTTATTTTTAGTTAACTATATTAAAATAAGTATTTCAGATATGGCTGCATCTAGTTTATTGCAACACGAAGAAGAAGATACAGATGATGGAGGGCCAATACTTGTAAGTAAGTTAGAACAGCATGGAATTAGTGCCAGTGATATAAAAAAATTGTCTGAAGCTGGGTTTTATACAGTTGAATCATTGGCTTATACACCTAAAAAAACACTTCTTGCTGTAAAAGGTATCAGTGAAGCTAAAGCTGACAAAATATTAAGTGAAGTAATAAAACTTGTTCCAATGGGATTCACAACAGCAACAGAATTCCACCAAAAGCGTTCAGAAATAATCCAGATATCTAGTGGTTCTAAAGAATTAGATAAACTATTACAAGGTGGGTTTGAAACTGGCTCAATTACTGAAATATTTGGTGAATTTCGAACAGGAAAAACACAACTCTGTCATCAACTCTGTGTCACTTGTCAATTACCTGTTGACTGTGGTGGTGCTGAAGGTATTTATAAAATATATAGCAAAATATTATGGTTGCAATATAGAAAGCAAATAATTTATTTTCAATTAGTTAACTCATTATCATGGAAATTACGCATGGATATTTCATAAGTTTTTAACAATACACTTTTTTTTTCACTTAATGAAAAAGAAGTCACAACAACAAAAAATGTTTATATAGTCCTAAAAATGTCATAATTTTTAAAACTAGTTATCTGATTTCAAATATCTTATCAATTTAATTTAATCTTGTTATGTTTCTGAAAGATTTTTTAATAAAGAATATATTTGCCTAAGTGTATTCACAATTATTTATCAACTACTATATACATGATGGTTATAGTCTTGGAATGTCCTGGAATGTCCTGGATTTTTGCAAGTGTCCTGGAATGTTCTGAATTGTCCTGGAAAATTACATTTTTTTTCTAAAATGTCCTGAAATGTCCTGGAACTTTTTTTTTTTCTGAGTCAAGTTAAAAAATTACTAAGAATATTGAAGTAATATTAAATTTTTTATGCGAAATTTTTTTTTTATATAAATAGTTTGAATTTAATTTTAAATAAGAGAGTAATAATTATATAATAATATAATGATATAATATTCTATTCTATAATTTAATCAATATGAGAAAAAATATACCGTAAAGATAATTGATAATATTCATTTAATAAGATATAAAATGTCCTGGAAAACGCAACAAAATGTCCTGGAAATGTCCTGGAATTTAACTTTTAAATTTTTTTGGCCACCATGTGTATATATATATATATATATATATATATATATATATTTATTTATATATATATCAAGCCTTCCCGAGAAGTGTGTGCGGTCGCAATCCTTGTATGTTTTTAGACAACTTGACCATGTTTTTATATAGTAATAATATATAAAAACATGGTTTATATTTAATAATATTTAAATAATATAAACTTATTAAAATTATAATATAATATAAACTTATTAAAATTATAAACAAATCTACTATCATCTGATTCTTTGTTCTTTAGTTTCTTACAATATTTCTCAATGTTCTAATAGATGTTTTTAATAACTTGTGGCTATGAAAATAGCCGTAATTTTAAAAATTGAACGCAGAACAGCTTATCAGTATAGCATTTTAGTTCATGATATAGATTAATTACTAGTTAAAATTTATTAAATTATTTCTTAAATATTTTTTAAAAACAAAAAACAAGTAAACTTTGAATTGTTATTATAAACTATATTGAGATTTTTTTACCAAAAAAAAATTAACAAAAATAGTCTAACAAAAATACTCTATTACCATTAGCATAACATTCAAAAAACACTCAATAGAGGTACATATCAAATGTCACAAACAAATAATTAACTGCATCTCTAGTATTTTTTGCCAAGAAAGTTAGACGCGCATGACTAACTCGTGCAGTTTTGCTTTCTTTGTTTCTGGCTTCAATTGCACTCTCAGACAAAGAACCTATTTGATGTTATAGATATATGTAAAATACAGATTGTGACATAGGTATGGTTTTTTTAAATGTTTTCTGTAATGATTACAAATATTCAGATTTCTGATTGAAAATCTATATTCGCTCTTGTAGTCGTGCTGTTGAATCAATGAATAAGTCTCGAAACAACTTATTTATTCTGCTTTAGGTGCTCTTTGTGGTACACTATAAAAATACATTAAAGCATATACAACACCAACAAAAATGTCAAACTTAGAAGTGTTTTTGTGAAACATAGTTTTTTTTGGCAGTATGTAGTTATTTATACTACTATTTAGTATTTAAAATTCTCTATCGTTTGATATACCACACAAATTTAATAAATCAATTAATGAGTTTTTAAGATTTTTTATTTCAGCTATTACATGAAAACTTATTATTTTAACTATTATGAAAAAATTTATTTGTTCATTATCTCAAAATGATGTTTTAATGCTTTTTGCATTTCCCTTGAATATTGGTAAAATATATATATATATATATATATATATATATATATATATATATATATATATATATATATATATATATATATATATACACACACACATATATTAGTGATGGCGAATTGAAAATTCCGTAAAAAATTCTGGTCTTTAAATTTTTAGTTTCTTGTAAAACTGTTATGAATGGTTTGAAAAAAATGCGCAAAACTGGTTTTCAAGAATAACAAAATATGAAGACCGGAATCTTTTACGGAATTTTCAATTCGCAATCATTTAATTCGCCCCTTGTATATATATATATATATATATATATATATATATATATATATATATATATATATATATATATATATATTTATATATATATATATATATATATATATATATATATATATATATATATATATATATATATATATATATATATATATATATATATATATATATATATATATATATATATATATATAGGGAGATACATAAATTAATGCATACCTGCTTATATTGGATCCATAAGTGCAAAATAGTAAATCATCTTCTTTGAATTTACACTCACTCTGCTTGATAAGTTGATTACCCTGTTTAATCAGATATTCTATATTAATTGCTGTTCCTCCTCATATGTCCTAATCCATATTTCAGGATCTTTTTCTAATCTTTTATACATTAGTTGTTTACTATTTAAAAAGTTATGAATTGTATTTATTTATTTAGCATTATATGTATTATATCTGCGTGTGTGTGTGTGTGTATGTGTTTATTCATACCTTATTTAACAATAATAATAACAACTTAATATATAAAGTATAATATACTCACAAGAGATATTTACTTTGTTGGTTTTTGATGTTTAATATTTAGTTAAAAACATTTTTTTTCTTTTTCCACAAATTTTTATTAAATAAAAAAGCAGACTTTCAAAAATGTTAAAACTCACAGTGTAACCAGCATAAAGTGACAAAACGTGGACTGCAAAAATAAAGCCCATGCAAATATGTTTTTACTTGTAACATGGTCTAATCAATCTTTACGGACACACAAAAACAATGATCTAAACATTTTTTTTTTCGTTTCTTGGTTTCTGATATAAAAAATGTTTCATTTATTTGATAAAATGAATAAACATAATAAATAAATTAACGTTAGGAAAAAAAATTAACAAAACTTCTTCTAGTTCTGGCGTACATAGCAATTTAGTTTCTTAATTATATGGAATCATAAAAATCGTGAATAAATTGCATATCAAAACTTTTTGTTTCCTTTTTTTAGGATTGTTTTATTTTTTCTTAGTAGATAAGTTTAGCTTTTTGCTGTGAATTATTGAAGCGCTATATAAGTTAAAAAGAAGCAAACTGCCACTGTCAGCTTGTCTAAAAAAATACTTTAAATTACCTTTAAAATCTGTTATTTTAACATAAAAAATTAACCAAAATAATGCTTAAAATGTTTAGCAATATTGATGTCAATATTCAGTGACTCAAATGTCATAATTACTGTCATGAACAAAAATGAATATGTAAATTATGAATATGGGCCATCCATAATTTACATATTCAAGTATGGGGAGGGGGTCACACAAAAGTGTACCAGTGCATACAAGGGAAAGAGTGGACAATTTTTTGTTTGAATTTTTTTTATGTAAAGTACATGAAATCAGACGAAAAAAGCTTTGGTTTTTTAGTTAATGCATTTGTCTATCTACTGGAAAAAATATGTTACTGCAGCTTTAATATTAAATAAAAACGATGGAATAACGCTATTTTAAAGTCGACAACATAACAATACATAGTATAATATGACAACATTTTTTTCTCTTGGAGTTGAGTTGACATGCTTGATTGCGGACATTTTTAACAACAGAAACATTTTAATTTAAAATAAATAATAGTTAAAAATAAAAATAAAAGATTAAGTATTTCTTTTATTTACAAAAGATGTGTGAAAAATTAAAAACAATAAAGCAAAAGAATCTTATATTTTTACAAAATCTTTATTTATTTACAAAATCAGATAAAACTCAATTTTTTTCAGCCAATCCTTATCACAATAATTTAGATCTTCCTATATTTATGAATGGTAATATACTTGATGAGTCATCTACCCTTCATCTTCTAGGATTAACTCTTACTTTTGATCTTTCTTGGAAACCTTATATCAAATCCGTTGCAGAATTAGCATCTGCTAAAGTTGCATCTCTCTATTGAGCTCGACACTTTCTTACTCTGGATTCTACTCTCTATCTCTATAAATCTCAAATCTGACCTTGTATGGAATACTGTTGCCATATCTGGGGCGAATCTTCTAATGATTCTCTTTCTCTTTTAGACAAGGTGCAAAAACGCATTGTAAACATAGTTGGACCTGCTCTTGCAGCCAACCTTCAACCATTATCACATCGCCATAATGTTGCTTCTCTTTCTCTTTTCTACAAATAGTATAATGGGTACTGCTCTAAAGAGCTAGCGTCTCTTGTGCCATCTACTAAAATTCACTTTCGTGTTACTGGTCATTCAATTAAGTCTTATCCTTTTTCTGTTACTGTTCCTAAGTGCTCTAAAAACTATTCGTCTAGTTTTTTTTTCCTTGAACATCAGTTCTTTGGAATTCGCTTTCTTCATCTTGTTTTCCTGGTTCATATAATTTGCAATCTTATAAGTCATCTGTCAATCGTTATTTTGCTCTACAATCTTCATCTTTTCTCTTCCAGTAACTTCCAACACTAATTAGTGTTTACTTGCAACTTTGTTGGAAGTGAAGATGTTTTAAAAAAAAAAAAATCTTGTGGATTAAAACTTTAAATTTTTTAAAATTCAATCAAGTTTTATTATTTTAATTTAAATTTTCTATTTTCATTGGGATGAAGCATTTTGAAAATAGTAAATATTACATTCTATCTATTAGCTGTAATGACTTCATAACTTTCCATTCATTGTTTGTACAAAACAGAAAACTGCATTTAATTTAAACTGAATACGCGATTTAATTATTATCAAGTGGTTAATTTTTTATATACTTGAGTATATACTTAATAAAAATATAATAGACTTATACTAATATAATATATATTACTGTAAGTATATATATATATACTTGTACAAATATAATATATATAAATAACATATATATTGACATATATTTTGAGAAATGCGTTTGTGAAAATAGTGGCTTTACATTTTCTCCTTTTTTTGTTTGAGAGCCACTAAAAGTTTTAGTTCAAAGTTGTATAACAAATATATTTGTTATAGGCATTGTTTATTAAAACTTTTTATTTAATTTTTAGTATTGTTTAGCTTTAACTTTATTAATAGATAAATTTTAATGTAGATAACAGTGAAAATATTTAGTTTATTAACTTAGATTTGACAAAAAGTGTTTGATATTTTAATGTTTTGATGTTTTCAAATTTTAAATGCAGTAGTCATTAAAGGGACTACCAAGTCCAGAGACATGTTGTGTTCATATTAATGTTAAAAAAAAAACATCTGAGCAATTTTTTTTTTATTAAAGCTAATTAATAAATGTATACCAAGAAAAAAAAATCTTGTTGTTTTAGTCGAAGCATGTCTTCTCCATTTTCTGTGGTATTTGGAGTGTAAAATAAATAAACGCATTATATAGACTTGATAATTTATTCAAGTGGGCATTTCCATTTCTGTGCGTGGTTTTTTATTTTTCTTTGTTTTAGCAATTAAAAGCTGGGACTTTATGCAATATGCATACTATTTTGATTTTCTTAAAGAACAATTATAACAAAAATATTTTTATCATATTTTAGGCTATCTGAACAAATTAAATATACACATTTTTACAATTTTATTTTTTTGAGTAATAATATCGCTACATTTTGAAAAATATACAATAATTTTCAAAGCGCCATACTCTAGCTAGAAATAATTGATGGCTGTTGTTTCTCATCGAAAATATATTAAATATGAGTCGCAGAAGTATAATATTTCACTTGAAATACTCACAAGCAATTTATTTTCATAAAAATAACTACATGAAGTTGACAAATTTGCAACATCCGTGCGTGACTTCCGTGCGTGATCATTCATAAACTGCATTTAAACTATTGCTGTGACTCTATGATTCATAGTGCAATCCTGTAACTTTCTGGAAATCTTTACTAATGTTTAAAATACTAATTTAAAAAAAAAGTATACGAGTGAAACTTATATTGTCCAAGGAATTAAAGTTTATTTATAAAAATAAAATTTTACTAAAATAGCTAACTATAGTTAGTTATTTTGTTTTCTAAAATCTTCACATTGAAAAAAACTTTATGTTTTTTTGTAGCTATCAGAGCCGTGGCTACATGGATCACAGCAATAGTGATCTTAGGAACCCATATGGCGCCAAATCGAGTTATATAATATCTCCAATGATTTACGAGTGTATTCTTTACATTTTGATGTAAGTTGTTTCGACAAATCTAACGAACAATTAATTAAACCAAGCACTAGGAAAAGATATAAAAAATAAGAATATACTAATAAAATATATAATTTGTAATTAACTTTCAAAATTTTGACAATTTAAAAAATACATATTATAAAACATTTATTTTTGTAAACAAATGATAATAGTTTTAAAGATTTATGGCTTTGCAGATGTGACTCCGAGAATGAGCCATAATATTAAAGTAATAGTTCATTTGATTATATATTCTTAAAAAAATTTATGCTAAATATCTCAAAACGCAACAAATCGTAAAACATTTCAATAGAATACTCTAGAACTTTATTTCGCTTAGTCAGCATATTTTTTGAACCAATAGAATTAGTTTGTTCGTAAATTTGGTGGGTTTTTAGTGTTCGCGAATATTCTTTTTATTCTTCCACAAGATGTTTTTAGAACATTCAAGTTAATTGTGTTTCCATGTATGTCTGTAAAATAAAAATTAATATATATTAATTTTTTAATTTTTAAGCCCCCGCCATAATATATATTGGATGTTATAATAATGGAAATATAAATAATGAAATAAGATCACCTCAATACCAAAAATACATTTTGGAAAATCAGGGAAAAAATACGTTAATAATTTTTTTTTAATATTTACAAAATAAATTATAAAAGTGCATTATTATTTAGGTTAAAAATTATTTTATCTAATATTTTGAAAGAAAAACTTATAACAAAAGAAATCAAAATACACGTGGTCTAGACGATTATTTAAAAAAAGTTGTGCGAATAAAATACTATTTTGTTTTTAATTTTTTTACAAACACATTTTAGAACTTTAAAATATAATAAAAATGAATATGATTTGGAAATTGCATGTAAAAAAATAATAATCGATGTTTTAAACAAACAAACAAAAAAATCTATGACGTCATGTACTAAAACTTCTATGAATTAAACGCACTTGAATAAATTATCAAGTCTGTATAATGCGCCTGGAAAATTGCGGTTATTTTACAGACTCCAAATACCGCAGAAAATGGAGAAGACAAGCTTCGACTGAAACAACAAGATTTGTTTTTCTTGGTATACATTAGGGTGTCCCAAAAAAAAACATTTTTGAAAATAATCTGCTCTCACCCCCTAAATGTGTTCTATCTAATACAAAAACACTAGGTTTAAATTTTTTTTGAATAAAAAATATTTTAAGGGGTCCCTCAAGACCCTCGAATATTTAATGGGTCCCTAATATTTTCGAAAAAAAAGTTTTCCAAAAATATGTCAACCTGGTACTCAAATGAAGTGAAATTATGTTAATATTTCAAAAATAATATTCATTTCGAAATATTTTTACTTATTTATCAAAAACTTTCATAAAAAAACATTAGAAATGCATTTTTTTCATTTTTTTTTAAAAACGCAATTTTTTATGTAATAAAACAAAAAATAACAATTTTGTTTCGAAATGAATATTATTTTTAAAATTTTTATATAATTTCGCTTCATTTGAGTACCAGGTTGACATATTTTTGAAAAACTTTTTTTTCGAACATATTAGGGACCCATTAAATATTCGAGGGTCTTGAGGGACCCCTTAAAATATTTTTTATTCAAAAAAAATTTAAACCTAGTGTTTTTGCATTAGATAGAACACATTTAGGGGGTGAGAGCAGATTTTTTTCAAAAATGTTGTTTTTTGGGACACCCTAGTATACATTTGAATCAGTGTTTTTTAAAAGGGCTGATTTGACATTTTTTTAGAAATTCACTTTTTATGTGTTTTGTGTTCTTCTATGATAGCTTCATCAGTTTATGTTAAAAATATGTTTAAATTTTATCATCTTACTCAAATAAAGCCACCTAAAAGTTTTCGATTTTTTTTAAAAAGGCGAATTTGCTTCAAATACGCCCTTTTTAAAAAAATCGCTCTCAGCTGATTCGTATATTTAGGCGCAATACGCAGAAAATGTAAATAGTTTTTCGTATGTTGTTGTTGCTATTATAAGATTTTTAATGGACCTTGGTATTCCAAGTCCTAGAAAAAAGAAAGAAAGTTATCCTTGTCAGTACAAACATAACAAAATAAAACAAGCACGTTTAATGGGACAGTCATACATAAATTATAAGGGAAATGAAGTTCCACCAAAGTACCCTACGTTTACTTGCAGGTAAATTTCAAACATCCAATATATGTATATATATATATATATATATATATATATATATATATATATATATATATATATATATATATATATATATATATCAGACTTTCCCAGGAAAGGCGTGCGGTCGCACGCCTTGTTTGTCCACGCATAGAATAAATTTTTCAGAAAACGTGACCGCGGTAATATTTCGTGGGAAAGCGAAACTTTTCCACAGAGAATAAAAAATAATATTAAAAAAAGGAAACGAAGTCTAAACAAAGTATAAAATTGAAATTGGATGTAAGAAAAATATTTTAATAATAAAAAAAAAATTCAAAAAAAAAATTCTTGTAACAAAAAAAAAAAAGCCTTGAACATTTTTTTCAAAATTTTTATACAGTTTTTTTTTTTTTTTTAGGGTTGCTATTTTCAGCTACGAAATTTGATACAAGTCAAGGAAAAGACGACTATAAGTTATTAAGTTTTCATGAACATAAAAAGACTTGATACGTAATTTATTCGCGAACTTTATCAGACAACGTATTAAAAAACTGATTCAAAATTTACGCTAGACAAATTTAGTTAAATTTTTTAATTTAATTTAGTTTTTACGAAGGTTTATGCAAAGGCGATGACGTTATTCTCCAAGAAAATAAATTACTGTTTTAATTATTAGATATATTATTTGAGATTTTAAACATAAAAAAACTTTAATGTGAAAAAAGTTCTCTCGACTTATTCTCAACCGATTATACTGAGTCAATGCTCGCCTTTTATTACGTTGAAATTATTCAATTGCATAATTTTGTAATTATGAAAGAAGTTAAAAAAATAACTGCATTGCTTCTGTTGTCATTGTTACGAAAACAGTTCCTTCGGGACATTATTATATATTAACACTTGTTAACAATGTCAATTAATGATTGCAAAATAAAATAATCTCAATCGTTTGACAATAAAATTTTCTTTCATTTGAAAATAAAAAAAACATATTTTACAAATAAATAGCAATTGTTTTCGCGCTTTCATTTAAACATTTAAATGTATTTACGAAACATTTAAAAATTGTTTATAGATCTATCGTGAATTTTAAAGTATTACTGACTGATAAAAGTCATAAACAAATTTTACATTAAAAGGTCCTTTTATTTTCATTAAATAACCTTTTTTTTTCGATTTTATTTTTCTTATTGATTTGATTTTTCATAGCTAAAATAACTACCACACTAAAAAAAAATATATATAAATAAATAAAATATAGGTAAATTTTTTTTAATAATAAACATTAATTTTTTAATTTTAAAGAACAAACGGATTTCTGTTATTTACTTTAAGATTGCTTGCATTTTAGCGGTATTTTCGTTTAACTTTGCTTTAGCGCGAATTTTTGAAACGCATAATAACAAAACGTGGTCAGTTAGTCAGAAAAAGTTATTTTATGCGTGGACAAACAAGGCGTGCGACCGCACGCCTTTCCTGGGAAAGCCTGATATATATATACATTTAAATCATTTTCAACTTATCATAAATTTAATGTTTACATAAGTCTTACTACACTATACTATAAAATTTTGAAACATTAATCTTATTTCATGAAAGCATGAGTTTAAAATAATTTAGATATATTATATGTTTATATGTTTAAAATTTATGAAATAACATACTTCAAAATATTTTAACCCTAAAACCTAAGTCTAAACCAGCTATAGTACTTAGATTATGGGTATATCTGTTACATAAGTAAATAATTTACAGATATTACATATTAAATCTTTCTTACATAGTAGTTTAATATGCAGTTGGCTAAGTTTTATGATTTTTTTTCCAGATAGTTAATATACACTGAATAGTTAAATCTTGGTATAGTAAGCCTAGACCTATATAGTAATTGAGATTATAACATAGGTGGAAGCACTAAAAAGTCAAAAACTCTTAATATGATTTGGTCTATTTCCCCTTTTGTGGCAATGTTCTCTGTTTAAGATTATAAATAATGCTGTGTATTTTAATAAAAACGTTTTCTAGCTTGCATTAATTTTACATTTATTTTTCTCATTTCTTTTTTTAAGGTGCAAAAAAAAGTGTTTGGAGAACTTTGGAGAGGCTAACTGTGTGGATATCTTTTCCAAATTTTATGATATAAAAAGCAAAGAAAAACAAGATTTTTATATTCAAGGATTAATAGATGTCACTAAAGTTAAAAGAAGAGTGCCACATCAAAAGGATCTTGAAAACCTGAAGCAGCCAAGTAGCTTCTCCTATCATGTGATTGTAGGCAATGTACGCATAGAGATATGTTTCAGTGCACTTTTATCTGTCTTAAGTATTAGTGAAAAATGATTATGGAGAATAAGGAACCTTAAGGTTATTGGAATAAACCCTTAAGATAAAAGAGGTAGAGGTATTACTAATTGTCTTTCTCAGAATGTTCATGACATTGTTAGTAATCACATAAGATCATTTCCACTCAAGGAATCACATTACTCAGGGAAAAAAGTATATTACCTCAATGCAAGTTTAAATGTAAAAACAATGTGGCAACTTTTTTGTGAAAAAAATCCAGATTTAAAAGTGAGCAAGTCTTTTTACTGGAACCATTTTAAAACTAATTTTAACTTATGGTTTGGGCGCCCACAAGTGGGTACTTGTTGCACATGTGAAGAATTGAATCTTAGATTAAAATCACCGCATCTCAATAATGTAGCTAAAAAAGCAGGGCAGACTGATTTAGATGTTCATAACCACAGGAGTAATAAATTTTTCAATGCTTTAAAACATGAAACATCAGAAAATGGCTTAAATGAGGAGCACATTCTATCATTGGCATTTGACTATGTGAAGACGATAAGCTTGCTAAAAATACCTGTCCAACAACTTTATTATATGAGACATCTATCAGTCAATATTTTTTCTATACATAACATTAAAGAAGAAAAAAGTCATGTGTATATATACCATGAAGGTCAAGGAAGAAAAGGGTCTAATGAAGTTGCAACTTTTTTAAATGATTATTTGATCTCAGTTCCATCAAAGTATAATACATTACGTTTGTTTTGTGACAACTGTAGTGGACAAAATAAAAATCAGACCTTATCACGTTTTTGTTTATACTTAACTGACAGTGGTAGGTTTGATAAAGTTAAACAGTTCTTCCCAATAAGAGGGCATAGTTTCCTCCCTTGCGATAGGGACTTTGGTATAATTTCAAGTGTTTTAAAGACACATGACCGTCTTTATCACATGCATCAACTCACCGAGCTTATTATTAGCAGCTCCAGATCACAAAAGTTTACAGTGAAAGAAATTGTAGATGCAACTGAATTTTTTGATTTTAAAGCTTGGAGTTCGAAACATTACAAAAAATCTTGTATTTCTTCAGAAACCAAGGGTAAAAATACCTCAAAAGAAAAGAAGGTTCACTTTTCAATTAGTAACTTGTTTCATTTTGTATATGAGCATGATAAAAAAGGCTACATTAAGGCATTCACTAATATTAATGGTTTGGTCTGTCATTTTACTTTTTTTATGTCCAAACATATGGGTACTGTAGCACAGGTGGATAGTTTAGCTTATCCAAGTGGCAAAGTTACACTAAAAAAAGCCAAGGTGGAAGACCTTAACAAATTAAAAGAATTCATTCCTGAAGAATTCAACGAGTTTTATAACGAGCTGTACTCCTGGCCAACTAATGAATGTGAGATTCTCCCTGATAGTGACTTTGAGGAAGAATTAGATTAATATGCTGAGACTTAATGCTTACTGATAGCTTTTTTTGTTATTAATTCATATATATATATGTATAATATTTATTACTGGCACATTAAAATAATGTTTTAAAGTACATAGCTGTAGTTCTTACGGAGTTTTAATTCGTTTTCCTTCCTGAAATATTTGATTTTTTAAAAGGGCGAATTTTTGGAACTTTCATACATTAATTATTAACAAACGAAATGTTATAACAATTATCAAAGTGTACTAAGATGTTACTTTTGCATATATATTTTAAAAATATATTACACAAATTCTGTATATTTAAAGATATAAAGAGTTTTTTTCAGTTTTCTCAAAAACGGGTTTTGAGCAAATCAGCCCTTTTAAAAAACACTGATTCATTTATTAATTAGTTTAAATTAAAAAAAATTTGCTCAGACATTTTTTAACATTCTCTTTATTATGAACACAACATGTCTTGGGACTTGGTAGTCCCTTTAATTAATAGAATTTGATCGACCCTGTACAAAATTGAAGCTATAAGTGAAGTTTTAGTTTGATAAATTTTTTATGCTAGATATTTATTTATAAGATGTTTAGAAATATTACGCTGGATATTTGTAAATATTGTGCTAGATATTTAACATTTAAGTTTGGAATTTCCATTTAAGTGTTGCAAGTTTTGATACTTTGATACATTCGTCAATTTTAAAAAAAAGTCCTCTATATCTACAATTTTCCTTTTTTTTTTTTTTTTTTAAAAAAAAGCTGTTCAGAAAAAGTGGGGAGGGGGTGAGCATGTGGTCTAGCGAATCCAATTATGATTATCAATTACCCGAGTACCCGAGTAATTGATACTTTATAAGCAAGTTCCGAGTAGTCGACTACTCTGAATATTTTTTTTGAGTATCGAGTATAATATTTAAACAAAAAAAATGTAAATATTGCACATTCATTTAACTATTAATCAATCGAGTATTGGTATTCTACCGTTTTTTCTTCTTTTACTTCTATAATAAATTTGCTTAGCAACCATTGATTTTTAACTAAGTTTCAAAAGTTTTTTTTTAACTAAGTTACATAAAATAAATAACATTTGTAATTTAAAGTTGTACGACATAAAATTTGCAAGAAAGTGAAATATTAAAAAAAAAATTGTGAAATAAATAAAATAAATACTTAATTTTCTAATATATATAGCTGCCTTTGATAAGTGAAGTGTTTTGAGTAAAATGTACTAAATTTCAAGTAATAAATGCATATTTAAATACGTATAAATTTCAATTTTCAATTTTTGTGTTGCGATTTTTTATTTTAGTGATTTATTTACATATACCCAGAAATGTCTTCGAAAAAATCAGAGGTATGGAAATATTTTACAAAAAAAGAGAAATTGGAGTCAGTTTGTAACGAATTGCAAATTTATAATTCAACGTCCGGGATCTAATACTACTGGAATGATTAATCATTTAAAATTACATAGCATATCTTTACAAAAAAGAAATTTGGGCGACACAAATGAAACTGATGCGTCTTCTTCAAAAAACACAAAATCAGTTGGAAATGGAATAATAAATTTCATAAGTCGAGAATCATTGAATGAAATATTGGCGAAATGTGCGACAAAAGATGGATTTAGCATCAAAGGAATTACTTCATCTGAAACCATTAGGGGTTTCGTAGCAAGTCGTAATTATAAAATGCCAAAAAGTGAAACAACGGTAATGAAATATATAATGGGTTTTTATAAAGAAAAAAAAAAGAATTAATGGCGTCGTTATTAGAGCAAAAAAATCTGGAGAGAGATTCAGTATTACTGTCGATGAATGGAGTGATATAAACGTTAGAAGGTTCATGAATATCACTCTTCATTCAGCAACAAAGCCACCTGTAGTCTTGGGTCTATCTGCAATAATAGGTTCTTGTGATTCAAATGCCACTATCGATTTGGTAAAAGCAAAACTTAAAGATTATGGAATTGAAATGGATAATGATTTCGTCGGATCCACACATGATGGAGCATCAGTCATGGTAAAATATGGGAAAAATATTTTACCATTTTCTCAGTTATGCTATAACCATGCTATACATCTTGCTGTACTTGATGTATTTTATAAAAAAAGTGGGAGTTTAATTACGAATGATGATGCAGTAATTAATACAAATTTCCAAGATGATGAGAATTTAGAATATGATGAAAATTTAGCAGATGATGATTGTGTTGAAACTACCGAACAAAATGATGAGGTAGCTGATGCATTTGCTTTTGAAACTTAAATTTCCAAAATGATTCACTTTAACAATTACCAATCTTTCATGAAGACATTGGCAAAATTCTTGATGAAACATGAAAAATTATTAAATTTTTCAAATATTCTTCAGTTCGAAGCAGTGTTCTTGAAAAGCATATAATAGGCATAAAAAAAGATCAAGAAGGCAAAAAGTTACGATTGCTACTCGATTGCAAAACAAGGTGGAACTCAATAATACCAATGGTAAATCGTTTCATAAAAATATACGATTGTATACAAAAGGCTCTAATGGAATTAGGTCAGCAAAAATGTTCAGAAAAAAATATCAAAGTTTTAGAAGAAATATCACATGTTTTACAACCGGTTGAGCTTGCTGTTAAAGAGCTCAGTAAAGATAATAATCTTTTAAAAGCTGAAGGAGTATGCATTTTTTTGCTAAACAAACTAAAAGAAACAAATACGCAGCTAGCCATGGAAATGTTCACTGCTTTGAAGAAAAGAATTGAAGAAAGACGAAATGAGGATGTTGTATCACTCTTGCCTTTTTTACAATCTGGAAATTATCCTAAACCAGATATTAACTGCCATTTTACTTATTTAAAAAAAAGTTCTATTCATTTATTGGCTAAAGAAACCTTCAAAAGGCTGTTCAATGAAGATCCTGCAAACACACAGATGGATACAGAGTTAACAATTGAAAATGAAGAAATAATTTTAAATAATGGTTTGGTTTCAAATTATGATGAACTCCAAAAAACAATTGAATTAATTATGACTGTTCCGAAAGAAAATAATGAGAGAAAATCCTCATTGGAAAAAGAAATGAATGTGGGTAAATTTTTTTTCCTTTACCCGGATACCCGGGTAATGAAAAAAATAAATACTCGATTACCCGGATAACTGAAAATGCGATTATTTGGACTAACTAATGTGGTCCCCTGGGCCCTTCTGATGTTGTCAGCCTTGTTATTACATGGACTTTAATGCAATTCAAAGTAAAAGTTCTATTTAAGCGAAGTTTTTTGTTAAATGAACCCTAAAAACTGTACAAGTTGGCAAATGTTCAACTGGAAAAAACATGTTGGATTTATCTTTCAAATAAAAGAAATAAATCGTTTTTAATTCATTAAGTTAATTTGAACTTATGCCTAATAAATTAAAATTAAAGTACATCGCTCATAAATTATGTGTGATGCACTGTATTATAAATATAACTTCTTTATTTAAAAATATGCAAACTCTACTGTTAAAACATTTTAGTTTCAGCAAAAAATTTTACTAAAAGTTTTTTCTTTAAAATCGACTTTCTTCCTCACAAGTTCTTCATACGAGCAAGATTTTTTACTCTCATAACGAAACTAGCAAGTGCTGTTTGTCGCTCCCAGAAGGTTATTTACCGGCGTATTTCACATTCACGGAGCGATAGCTCCCGCTTCATCACAAGGTCTATATATATATATATATATATATATATATATATATATATATATATATATATATATATATATATATATATATATATATATATATATATATATATATATATATAATAAAATTAATAGTGCTTATTTATGTAACTCAAATTTAATAGCGCTTATTTCGAGCCCTATATGTATGTATGTATGTGTATATATATATATATGTATATATATATATATATATATATATATATATATATATATATATATATATATATATATATATATATGCACATACATACATACATACATACATACATACATACATACATACATACATACATACATACATACATACATACATACATACATGCATACATAAATAAGCGCTATTAATTTTGTTGTTACTTAACATTTGTTTTTTCGCGCAAAAACTTTTCGCCATTAAAAGAGTTTATAAAATTAAAAAATTTGAAAAGATTTATATGTAAATTATATATAAAGATTTATATGTAATTACGTATAATATACTTTAATAATTTAAATAAAATGTGTTTATTGCAAACATTATGATTAATTTGTTACTTTATTTAATAAAGTTTAATTGTATTGGTTTTATTGTAAACATTATGAATAATTTGTTACTTTATAAAGTAATAAGTAAATTTAATAATTTTTGTATTTAATATATTTACATAGTAATTGATGTTTTATTATTTTAAAATTAACCAAATTTTTTTTGCAGACTGCACACACGTTTAGGTCAGTAATGCCAACCCTAATTCCGAGGGTTGTGTGTATATATATATATATATATATATATATATATATATATATATATATATATATATATATATATATATATATATATATATATATATATGTATATATATATATATATGTATATATATATATATATATATATATATATATATATATATATATATATATTCAAAAATTATAAAACTCTTTTTTAGGTAAAGCAATGTATGTTGATACTGAAGGTACATTTAGACCTGAACGTTGTTTAGCAGTTGCTGAACGCTATGGTTTAAATGGTCAAGAAGTTCTTGATAATGTTGCATACGCACGAGCATATAATTCAGATCATCAAACACAACTTCTTATTCATGCTTCTGCAATGATGTCAGAAGCTCGTTATGCTCTTCTGATTGTCGATAGTGCAACAGCACTTTATCGAACAGACTATTCTGGGCGTGGTGAGTTATCTGCAAGACAAATGCACCTTGCAAGGTTTTTGCGTACTTTGCTCAGACTTGCAGATGAATTTGGTGTTGCAGTAGTTATAACAAATCAAGTAGTTGCACAAGTTGATGGTGCATCAATGTTTCAAACTGATCCAAAAAAACCTATTGGTGGAAATATAATGGCCCATGCATCTACCACCAGACTATCTTTAAGAAAAGGAAGAGGTGAAACAAGAATTTGCAAAATATATGATTCACCTTGTTTACCTGAATCAGAAGCAATGTTTACAATAAATCCTGATGGCATTGGTGATGCAAAAGAATAATTTATTCAAGATATTCAATAAGATATTCAATTGAATTTCCTCTGATTTTCAAGTGTCTTTTAAATTAAGATTTCACTTGAAGTTATTCATATACATCATTCATAAAGTCATCTTATAAATAAAAATGAGTATATTTTTATGTTAAATAAGTTTCTGCTTTTCTAAATCTTTTCTTTTATAATATATAACATATAATTGTTATATAACCAAAAACACTGTTCAGCTATTAAAATTTATTAGTAGTTTATTCCTTTTTATTTATTAATTAAAGAGAAAATTAAAATAAGTTCTTTATAAATGTTTTTTCTTATTTCTTTGCATACTGAACTAACAATTTTTTAAGGTTGTTGGTTATTTTTGTTTAGAATGCTTTTTTAAACATGTTTAGTTGCTCTAATTTTTTAAACATGTTTCATTATTTTTCTAAACATGTTTAGTTACTCTATTTTTATTTAAAAATGACTTCTTAAGGTGCTTTGTGTAAATAAATGATAAAAAAATAAATATGATGTAAAGGTTCTTTTTTATACAATTAAGTATGTAGTTACCAAGTTATAAAGTTAAGAATAACCTAAATATGGAACTAAATGAAGTTGTAGTTAAAAGATTTGTTTTTAAAATAAATAAAAAATTTTAGAATCAAGTATTAAATTTCACAGCTTAAAAATGTTCATTTTGATATTTTTTTATAATTTTTACTAGTTATGCTCTAAAAGCAATCTTAAAAAAACATAAAACATTTGCTATTGTTTTTTTTTTTTTGTTTGTTTGTTTTTTTTTTGTTTTTTTTTGTTTTGTTTTTTGTTCTTATTGTTTTGAAGTTGACATAATTTTAAAATCAGTGAATTTTTAAAACATTTATTTCAATATAACAATAATTTTAGTAGCATTTTATTTCACTTATAAGTAACAATTTATCATAAAATATTGTTCAATTTTTCTTAAATTACTTAAATATTCTAAATACTTCAAACAACAAAAAATGCTATTAAAAAGAATGCAATCTACAGGCTTTTTTTAATAAGTAATATTTTTAAATGATTTCAAACAAATAAATGGTTTGTTATAATAATATAATCTTGTATTTTAGAATTAAAATTTTTTGAAGAGAATTAAGTTTTTTTGGTTTAGAGATATTACAAATTTACATAATTTTTTGTTAAAAAAATGTCTGAAATTAAGTGGTGTAAAGTTTTGTACAAACATCAACCATTTGAAGATAATTATACCAGTAAAACATTTCTGGATGAAATGAAAAAAAATGGTTTGTTTTTTTATTTCGATTTGTTTAATTTTTTTTTTTTAATATTTTAACTGTTAGCATATGTCTAATTAACTTTTAACTTTCGTCTTTTTATTATTTTTAAATATTTTAACTGAAAAAAAATGGTTTATTTTTTTATTTCAATTTTTATAATTTCCTTCTTTAACACTTTCCAAATACTTTTTCTTAATGGTTAAAATTAAATGTACAATAATTTTTCACAAACTAATGAAGTTTAATTAAATTCATAATTAATTATGTAAGCAGGACTATCACCTTATTTTTCTATTTTATTTTTCTTATTACCTTATTTTTCTATCTTATTTTTATTATTAAACTATCACCTTATTTTTCATTTTAATTTTAGTAAATACAGCCACATATTATCTATGAATAATTATTTTAGTTTTTAATTTCAGTTAATACAAAGATATATGATCTACCAAGAATTATTTTTGAGTCTGGAGTTGTTTCACAACAGTTATCAAGGTGAATTTTTTTCTAATAGTTTTTGTGAAAGTTGTATAGAGAAGATTTTTTTTTTTTTTTTTGTATTCTGTTTTTTTGTGTTCCTTTTTAATTTTTTTTTTTTTCATTTTATGGGTTGTATTATACTAAATGAAACTGATTTTATTATATTCAGCTCTTTGTCTGTTTTATATATTTTTGGTGTATGACTCTATGAATTATGAGCTATGAATGTGTGTTTAGATAACATCTCTGACATACTGAAATAGATTGCTGCTGTGGCTTCAGGAGGGTTTGATTATCTTATAGTTTGCTGTCACAAGGTGCGGCAAAGTACCACTACATCGACTGAGGGTTTGGCATAAAAGCAGCAATCTTTTCTTTCATTATTTTTCATTTTTTCTTCTATTTCTATTAGCTTTTTCTAAATATTAACAGTCATCATCTTTTTCACATATACAACCCTCGGAATTAAAGTCGGCCTTCAGCAATGCTGACCTAACTGCCGACCTGAAAGTGTTTGAGATCGGCAATTTTTTGACGACCTCGTTTCTATGTTTTATGGTCAGGCCTTTGTATCAAATTTTTTTTTGCCGACCTGATGCCAACCAATAAAAGATTGAGGTTGGCAAATTATTGCCGACCTCATTTTTCCTAATTCTGAGGGTTGCATATATATATATATATATATATATATATATATATATATATATATATATATATATATATATATATATATATATATATATATATATATATATATATATATATATATATATATATTATTAATTCACCTCCTCAAGGCCAAGAAGGCCACTACAGACAAAGAGGCTGCTTATTTGTGATTATAACCCTCTCTCAACTCTATAACTCTAAAACACAAACCTTGACGAACAAGGCCGCTGCGTAGAGAAATAAGTTGAGCGCTGTACTACGAGGGACGTGGTGGGGATAGAATTTGGAACCTCTCGCTTATGAAGCAAGCGCTCTACTTTCTTTATATATTATTTTTTCTTATATATTATATTTCATATAATTGACTATTACTCATTACTAACATAAAATTTATTAAAACTAAAAAAAAAACCTTTGCATACCATATGTGTGTGTATATTTTTTTATTGTTTAAAATTACATTAAACCATTTTTTTATTGCAAGGTATGAAAAATACACATAAAACCTTCTACAAGTACACCTAACCAATAACAATAACACAAGTACACCTAGAATCAACTAATAACAACATCTATAAGTACTAAACGACTGGGGTTGATATTTGACTGGGGCCAGGTTTGATAAAATATAGCCAGGGCTGGCTTTGTGACCAGGGTTGCATAAACATTTATACATCCTAAAGTGTATTTTTTTTTTTTTTCAAAATTCATGTTATATTATGTATATATATGAATACATAAACATCATGATGATCAACATGATTATCATAATCATCATTATTATGATAATGATGATGATCATCATTATCATCATCATCATCATCATCATCAATAGCATAAAATAGGAATGCTAAAGCCTGATAATCATGATCATCATCATGCTCATCATGATCAACATCATCAGCTTCCAAAATTTTAGCCTTCCTTTTTTATGCTGTTTCTCTAATATAAACAATCTAGAGCATTTTTCTTAACTAAAGCTCATTTATACAATATGTAAGGTACTCTATTCAAGTTTTCTTACAATAAATAGCAAACAGATATGTTTATATCCGTACTATGCATGTATAAAGTGCATCTTGGAAGCTTTTATTCCTTCTGGAATAAATGTTTGGAAGCTTTTATTACTTCTCTTCAACTTTGACTTAAAGTTGAACAGAAGTAATAAAAGCTTCCAAACATTTATTGAATAGAAGAATAAAACCTTCCAAGATGCATACATATTATGGATATAAACATATCTGTTTGCTATTTCTTTAGGTGCAGGCATACAATATCTTTTTATTGTTATATAAATTTTAGTATTTATATGGATTAGTATTTGCCAAAAGAGAAGTCGAAAAAAAATCGTTTTTTTCATCTTTTTTACAAAAACATCCCCCTTAAAAACAAATGTCCTTTTATTATTGCAAAAAGATAATGTAAAAAAGTCCTGTCTGATGTTAAGCTCTGTTATTCTCAGTTAACTAAATCTTGTATCTTATCTCAGATGTTAGGTCCCAGAGACATTTGGTTAGTCTTCAACATTGTCATTAAGTAAAGTAAGTCTAACATTTAATCTCTAGTTCATGTGTCTGATCTTTTTACTTCTCCTTAGAATAAAGCAGAGTTATTTGCAAAAAAATCTTACCCTAATTTGACTCTTGAATACCATGGCCATACTCTTCCTGTCAGTTGAACAGATTAACCCATTGTTATCCAAATCACTCTGGCTTCCAATGCTTAAGTTAATTCTTAATTAAACACTTCTACAGTTTGTGCTCCTTAGTCTTTAAAAAGTGTTCTCCAGAACTTTCTTCAATTATTGTTAAACTTTTATAAAGTGCTAAATAAATAATAATTTTTCAAAACTCTAGAAAACACTTTGACCTCTCCAACTATCCTACAATTATATTTTGCTATGTTCTTAGTTTCTTTATATAAAGGTTTTGAGGTTATTAAATGATTTTTTTCTAACTGCAGTAGTAAAATTATTTTGAAGGCCTACCATCTTTATTCCAAGTAACTTTAAGGGTACAACAAGGTTCTACCTTGGCTCCTGTAAAGTTTTTATCTACAATAATGATCTTCATGAAATCTAAAGTGGCTTTATTTCCTGGCGACTCAACTTAATACTCTTCTCTTTTTTCTGTAACAGCGTAAAGCTTGCAGTGGCTCATGGATTTTAAGTCTGGATTTAGAATCCACAACTTTTGTTGGACAACATAATTCATTTATTTACTGCAAAAAAATATTGCAATATTGTTGGCATTCCTATATTGATAAATATAGGAATGCCAACCCTCAGACAAAGTCTAAAAGCACATTGTAAATGTAATTAGACCTGCTTTATCTCCCAAGCTTGAGCCACTCTCCAGTTGATGTAAGGTTGCATTTCTTTCTTTTTTCTACAAATACAATCATGGTCAATGCTCAAACAAGCTATCATCTCTATTACGATAAACCAAAACTCATTCTTGCTTGTTTCCTATTTAACAAGTTGCATCCTTTTACTGTATCTGTCCCTTCAAGCTACAAAAACTTTTATTAATCCAATTTTTTTCCTTAAAAAAAACCTTTTAACTATTAGCCATCTTCATGTTTTTCTTCAGTTAATCATTTCCTAGTATTTTTACTTATTCTCTATTTTAAAGTAACTCATAACTTAATAGTGGTTGCTTGCAATCTGGTTGGAAGTAAATTAGAGTTTGAAAATATATAAATTTGTGCCAGTATTTAATAAATAGTAAATGTAAGCATATAATTATAATATATAAATTATTATAAATTTTTTTCTAACCCTGGCTATCAACTGCTGCTAAATTTTATAGTTTAGGCGGGGCCGGGTTTGAAAAATGTCTCAAGTTTACCAGGGCCCCAGTTGCTTACTTGTAGATAGTAAGTGACTGGGACTTCGGTCACATACTATCTACAAGTTACTACAAGTACATCTAGCCTCAATAAGAGTTTTTACTTTTTTTTTTTTTTACTTATCCTTTTTTTTTTTTTTTTTTTTAGTATTTGTCTTTTTGTGTCAATATTTTGGTATTTGGAAGTTAAAATTCTATCACCAATAAATCTGCTGTTTGCGTTATTACTATGCTTTTGTATAGGTGTTTCTTTTCGTAAAGTTATTGGAAAGAAAGGAATTGGTTGTTTTAATGTTTTTATTCTTTAATTTGGTTTATATTACATATTAAATCATTTACTATTATTTTTTACTTGGATAAATATTTACTGTTTTTTTTTTTTTTAGTTTGCTCAGCATATACTATTTTATTTAATATTTATTTTTACTAATATTTTATTAGAGTTTTTTTCTAAACACCTGTTCAATATATCTTGTTTATCATTTATGTAAGCACTTGTTATATATATAGTGCAGTAGTGGTGTAGTGGTAAAACGCTCGCTTCATAAGCGAGAGGTTCCGAGTTCGATCTCCATCACGTCCCTGGTAGTACCGCGCTAAACTTGTTTCTCCGCGCAGTTATAGAGTTGGGAGAGGGTTATAACCACTATTAAGTAGCCTCCTTATCTGTAGTGGCCTTCTCGGCCTTGAGGAAGTGAATAACAAATATATATATATATATATATATATATATATATATATATATATATATATATCAGGCCTTGTTACGAGATTTCGCTGCGTAACGGAAAAGCTGAACGTGAATAAATGTAACTTTACTCAATAAAGATATTTACATTGTTAAAAGTTAATTTACGTCAGTTGCGTTTTTACTTCATTGTAATTAAATTTAAAATGACATTAAAAACTATTGTAAGTCTTTGAAACGAAATAGCTTTAAATTGTACAATGTTGTTATAAAAAAAAAAAATTTCAATGTTGGTTAAAAAAAAGTCTTCTTGTATTAAAATCTTATACTTATTTAAACTTAATTTTTTTGCTTATAAACATTCGTTTTATGGTTGTTTTTTTTTTATTATTTTTTTTTAAATAATTTAAATTTAACACTTGTTTATGGTTGATTTTCTTAAAAGGATTTCAATGTACTTATAACTAAACGCATAGATTGGGTTTTCCCTTTTAAAAAAAAACGTTTGTTTTGATAAAATAAATGTTGTAAAGAAACGAAATTTACTGCTTTTTCGGCTTTGTTTTTTTTTATTTCCGTTAAACTATTTTATTTTTATGTTCAGTGAAACCTAATTTTTTTTTTCTCAATCCAAAAAAAAAATAGTGTTTTCGGTTTTCAGATGTTATAAGCAGAATTTGTTTTTAACAAATATCATTATAATTTTGAAATTTATGTATCTTATATTTATAGCTCAAGTGCTAGTTTTGTTTTTAAAATAAAATAAAGATAAGTTGGGTTTTTAAAGAGTTTATTTACTGATCACGTTATTTTTAATAGGTTTGTATTTTAGTTTGTTCAAGGACGTATTGTTAATACGTCCTTGGTTTGTTTTATAAAAAAAAAATTCTTTGGCAAATGGCAAAGAGAAAACCCAAACATAACATTTATAACTCGAGTTTAAAAGTATTGACGTCATTTATTAACTTGTAGTTATAAAATGAATAATGCGCTTCTGTAAATAATGAATGAAACTGTAAAATAATGGAAAAATAAAAACTGGAAAATAATACGCTTTTGTAAGCGCATCTTTCAGACCAGTATTTGGAACTTACCTGAAACTTAACTAAAATTAAAATAAAGTTATATGTAATACGAACATTTTAAAGTAACTTGAATTAAATTTATCAAATCTTTTTTTACTTTGGTAATTTTATAAAAAAACGGAGCATTTTAAAATTAAAAAATTTTAAAATGCTCTGTTTTAAAATTAAATAAAAGAATTTTAATTACATTTAATAAATTTATTTACTAAAAACTATAATTATTAAAAAAAATTTAAATTTTAAAATAAATTGAAAATATTTCTTTTTTAAATTTGATTGTTTATAAACTCATGAAATCTAATATTTAAAATTAAATATGATGAAAAGTTTAAACTTAAAACACTTTATATTCTTTAAGTAATTTTTAAAAACAAAAAAAAAATTATTAAACAAATTGTTTCTTTAACAAAAAATCTATTAGTTTACAATTGCGGTTAAATGCTTTTACTTACGACTTTAATACTTGTGAATGAACGTCACATAAACGATATAAAAAGATAATTTAAAATATTCTTAAAGATAAAAGTTTTTGCGTAACGCATAACTGCTGAACGCGTAGGCAAATCGCCTTTTCGCAAGCAAAATGCGAGCTGCGTAACGCTTCTTAACAAGACCTGTATATATATATATATATATATATATATATATATATATATATATATATATATATATATATATATATATATATATATATAACCTGAAATATGTTTATAACCAATAAGTAAAAAAAGTTAGTCAACAAAATATTTTCTTCTTTTAATTTTACAAAAATTACACTAATTATAAATTTTCATGCTTTAGCACTAGAGGCCTTTCAAATGATTGATTTTTTGTTCACTAACTTTTTTTACTTATATATATTTTATATATAAATATAAATATATATATATATATATATATATATATATATATATATATATATATATATATATATATATAATATATATATATCAGTCTTCTTTGTTTGGCCAACACTTTTACACTTACCTGTACGCAAGTAAATACTTTGGTGAGCATTTAAAAAACCTTTGCCAAAAAATTACAAGCATTTATTTGAAGTACAACAAATTTTTTTTTTTTTAATCAAACACTTTGATGAAAAATGGTGACTTTAATGTAAAAATTATTTTTTTAAGAGTTTAAATTAAACATGTTTTGTCATTTTTATTTAATCTTTTTATTTAAAATTTAAATAAAGCTTTTTTTTTGCCATTTTTAAATGAATTATTTATTTAAAAGAAACATCTTTTTTTTTAAATCCCATTATTATTTTAATTATTTAAATTAGAATTTAAATAAAATGTTCGTTTTATCCAAAGGATCCATTTGGAACTCCGTTTAGTCGGATTTTTCTTGATTTTTTGGAGTTTCGGAGTTCTAGAAAAATTGAGAAACTTTGAAAAAATTCCGACAAAGTTTTTGAAAAGTATCATTTTTTCACTGGTAAAAAAATGATACTTTTCAAAATGATATGTGACCTCACATTGGCAAAGAACTTTCTAATATTAAAAATTTAATTTTAAAAACAAACAAAAATAAAAAATAAAAATAGTTAATTTATCTAATTGTTAAAGTGTATTTACATAAATGTATTTACAATAGCTAATTCAAAGCTAAGTTATTTAATTTAATTGAATTAAAAACAAATATCTGAGGATTAACAGGTGATGAATGGTGTAGCAATAGAAGCGAAAGATACTATAATTTAAATGTTCTCCACGGCTTCGCGTATTGCTTAAGAAAAGTGAAATTGTCATCATGGAGATGGCAATATCACCTTTCTTAAACAATATATAATTTGCTCTGCAAATTATATATTGTTTAAGAATAAAACATGAACTTTTTCTATTATGAAAAAGTTAAAAAAATTTGGCTTAGATAATAAATATATTGCGATTAAAACTATGGATTGCTGTAGGTGGATGCTGAAATTGGATACCATAATTATATTTCCGCATCAAATCTGTCAGAATTATTTAATTCAATTTTTTTTTTTTTTTTTTTCATTTGATATATGTTAAAAAAGATTGTCACAAAATTGTGGGCCACAAAGAAACTGAATTGGGTATTGAAGCAGAAGCGGAAACTGATGGAGAAACTGATGGAGAATTGCTTATTATTCTGAGGAAAAGATTGAATATGAAAAAAATATTTAAAAAATTTTAAATAAACTTTAAATGCTAAGTAAGTTCTTGAAATATTCATTGTTTTGATATGAAACTCTAAAAGAAACATACACAAAATTTACAGATCTTTGCATGACAAAGGACTGCTGCTCGGCAACCGCACTAGATGAAACAGTGTTTTTGAAACAATATAAAGATTTTTGGATGTATTTTTTTTTTTTTTTTACAGCTTAGAAGGTGTAAAAAAAGACACTTGAGAAACTAAACTGCCTTAACATGTAAAATGACATTGACTTAGATAAGTTGAAATGGCTGTCTGATTCATTGAAACTCATAACTGCATTTTGCTTGGACAAAAAACAAAAGAAAAATAGTCTCCGAGCAAAAATAGATGGTTGCACTAAAGGCAAACAAGAAGATCCGAAGTTGCTCTGAATCAAAATAAATCAACAGCAAAAAAGCCAAAAAAATTGTCCTCCACAAAATTCAAGCCATTTATTAGATAAAACCTGTTTGTGAAAGAATTGTGATAGAAAAAATACTTAAATACTAAGGAATAAAAATATATAAGTCTTTTTTTAAATTTATATTGAATCATAAATTAAAATATATAATATTAAAAAAATAATAATACAAGAACAATTATTAATTTGATAGTTTTTTAATTTTATAACAAAACATCGAAATTCAAATTTTTTCTTGACTCCAACAGAGTTTTTTTCTCGATTTCTCTCACCTCCGTTTTTTCTCGATTTTGGATCCTTTGGTTTTGTGATTTTTATTATTTTATTTAGAATTTAAATATTACCTCTTTTATTTTTATTTTTTTGTTTAGAACTTAAATAAAACTTTGTGTTTTTTTTTAATGATAAATTAACCTCCCCACAACTTAAATAATCGAAGAGACTACTTTAGTTGTGATTACAACCTCTATAACTCTGAAACACAAGCCTTGGTGAACAAGGCTTTAGAAACAAGTTTAGCGTGGTACTACTAGGGCTGGCTTGGTCGGGAAGCTGGAGCAATCGCTATCGAATACTGATCACGGAAATTATATTAAGTTGCGAAAAACTGGCCAGGTTTTTTAGTTGTTTTGAGAACATTTAAGTTTATGTACGAAACAAAAAATTTTTGTTTTATGGACATACATGGAAACATAATAAACTTGAATGTTCTCAAAAGAACATCTTTGTGCGAAAGAATAAAAAGAATATTTGCGAACACTAAAAACCCGCCAAATTAACGAAGAAACTAATTCCATTGGTTCAAAAAACACGCTGACTTAACGAAATAAAGTTCTAGAGTATTCTGTTGAAATGTTTTAGAAATTGTATTATTCACTTTTTTTTTACGTTTTGAGATTTATAGCATAAATTGTTTTAA